AGTGTATATATTTAATTGAACCAACAATAACATCACATTCTAGCCTTTATAGGTGATACTGCTAAATGGAAAACAAAGGATATAATAGTTATTTCCTTATAATTCTAGAATAGGGTCTAAATTTAGGACTTTATAGTGTAGGCCTGCTATTATGTCTGGAGCCTATACAAAAATAAGGAAGTTGAGACATAAGGAAAATGCGTAAAGATAAATCCTGGATTTAAGGGACACTTAAACAATGAGAAGTGATTGTTATATTTAAATCTCGAGACCTTTAAGTGCAGAATGTCAAGTCAAGATGAAAATCTCAATGAATCACACGACAGACAAGGAATATCTGGATTATTAGACAAATTGTCATCCTCCTTAACCACGTGCATCCTCGATACTCCAGGGGTTACGTTCACTATCGCTCTCTGCACCATAGGCACATGTCCTAGAAAACTGACCAAAGACTCAGTGTACGTCGCTCCTATGTAATCTTCAAAGAACAGGTCAGCCTAGTGATTGGTCAGGTGGTTTGTTTTATCCGAGAACAATAAAATAGCTAGCTAACCGTATGCCTCCAATTTTGCGATTTCATAATCCGGGGTGCAGAGAACGTATGTGAGCATAACCGCTGGAGTATCGAGGAAAAACCAAGTGTTATTCGCAGAAACTGCAGAGGAATAACTACAAAAGTTGTACGATACGTTTCGAATTTCATGAATGACAGTTTTGAAGAGCAGATACAAGATATGGCTAGAAACGGTAAACAATGACTTATAAGGACGATGAACGTATTACACACACGGGTAGTGTTGTTGTTAAGAGTTGGTTATAGATACAGTTTGCTAAAAATAAGTTACATTGCATCATACAGGTGTTTCGTCCGGTTTTGCAAGAGGCCAAACTATTCGAAATCTAAACTTTCAAAACTATTGTTGAAACAGAAGGTGTGTAAAACCCTGAATAAAATTCTGGTGGAGTACTGGTTCATTTCAAAATCAATGATGTGTTAAGTGTGTATGTGATGAACCATGCCACTACTACTACAAGAGGCCAAGGGTCACGTAGTTCTCTGGGCAAATGACTGAAGAGCTTGAAACTGCTGAATCCTGTTGTCAGGTCCCGGAAACAAGAGACCGTTCATCAATTCTGTTATACAATTTAACAATGACATAATTTTATACACACACACACACACACACACAGTGTAGATTGTAAATTGGCGTGTGTGTTTTTTTAGCATGTCAAAATTCACATTTTAGTTATTTACAAGAGTACTTATAAAGTTTGAGTAAATTTTCAAAAAGAAAAAGAACATCAATTGTATCAAACTTGCAATCGGCATCACAATATTCTCCCTCAATTACAAGCAAAACGCGGACAGAATGTTAAATCCATAGCTATAATCTCTTGGCTATAAATAGCCAAGAGAACTTATAAAGATAACTGTGGCCATCAAGGTTACAGCAAACCTCGTGGACTAAAAAATATCTTGGAAGATGAACGCAACACCGCACAGGTGATTTCACGATCATATCTCTAATTTTAATAATGTTATTGTATATGTAACAAATTTACAAATGGTGATGTTATTAGTTGACCTCTTTTTTCTTTCAAACAAGTTGTTACTATGCATTGGATCAACGCAGATCATAGTGGCATGGATCTGACCTTTGAATTTAAAACACAAACATATGATTTAAAATATAATAATTGGTAATTACCCAGTATACAGTTAGCCAATAATGGATTACAATTAAACATACAGCTATTGCGTCCTTCAATTGGGTAGGAACTATGTACTGTGATCTAGCCTTATGATACCAAGTCACTTCATTGTAGGCAAAGCACATATGCCCCGTATCACCCACAAACTTTGACAAAACAATAAAAACTTCATCTCTAGACATGAAACTGTTTGTCAACATGTTAGTAGAATAATTGTGTGCTATATATGTATCTCATTAGCCGTATGGTACATCTGCTTTAAAAAGTGGATTTCAGACGTCATTAACCATTTTTAGAAAATGTGCCTCTTGAGACACACGTCCAAGTCTAAAGCGCGGAACACAGGGGACATAAAAAAGAAAAGGGATAAGGTTAATATTTACACTTTTGAGAACAATCGGCAAAGTATTGTGCGCATTTGATGTTTTTAAAATAGTCTTCACATTCTTTAAGCATTTAAGCTATCAGAAAATTTGTCATAAAACCTGTATTTCTGTATAAATGATTGTGATCACTCGTAATCTGTTTTTGAGTTTAAGAGACTTATGGCGTCGTTTGTATGGGAAATATAATTGCTTTGTTACAATAGAAATTTTTGAGTTTCTCGTCTCTTGAGATTAAAATCACACGTTGAATTTCATCAGCAAGTTTTGTCCTCGGTCATCTTACCTCCTCAAATGATCTTACACTATACTTATTTTCTTCTTGTTCGTCAACAGTGAGATACAAGATGGTGTCGTTTGCAAACAATCGCACGTTCGTGTTGATACTGATAAGGATGCCATTGGTGACGTAGATGAACGCCGTCGGCCAAACAGCTGATCACTGTGGGGCTCTGAGTATAATCAGGATGTTCCATCTAACGGTAGAAATCGCCTTGGAGAAGTCCATAACTATCACGTGCTTGCATGTTGGCCTTCAAAGATGTTGTTAGTGATGTCTTTAAAATCACCAAAGCATCAAGTTCCGCTTTATCGCTTTGTCAAAAGCTATTTTACAACTCATAGAGTTACAAGAAACCGCCAATGGCGATATGGCCGGATTGCTACAGTACACTATCATGAAAAGAATCACATGGGATAAGCATCCTTTAAGACACATAAGCCATGCAAGTTAAGTTGATGCACAGCAAATAGTTATTTAGTAACTGACCTTAACCAATCTTCTTAACCTGGTCACTGAAGCGTAATATGAAGGTCAGAACCAGCATCCGAAGCATCGCATGTAATAAGCATCCTTAGATACATAAGACATACAAGTTTAGTTGATGTGGGATAATGAATAACTTGGAAACGGAGCTTAACCATTCTTCTTAACCTTAGTGCAGACAGACAGACGGACGGACGGACGGACGGGAATCGCCAATTTATAAGCGACCAATAAAATCCATGACTTTGCTGAACGTCAGCAATATAAGGCGGTGACATTCTGGGTCAATGTGTTCCTCGTCTTATGAATAGGTACTTCATTGTCTCTCCACAAATCATCAGTGAAAGGTACCAGTATCGTATGGCCTTCTGAGTATGATGGTATTATGGAAATGAGCATGACTAATTCCTTCAGCATAAGTGGACTAATGCTGTCTAAGCTAACTGCCTTGTGTGTTTGTAGTCCTCCCAGCATCGTCTTCACCCCTGTCTTAGTGATGTTGATAAGTTGGATAAGGTGATTGAACCCATAATAATTTGGATATTGTGTTCCCTTCATAGGATCAGACTTATCTTTTCACCTCAGCCAACCGTTGAGTCCTAAATGAACGAAATGATCATATAATGCAGTGAAAATACTTTGTTTTGGCATTCTGCATCGACTTCATTTCTCATATAGCTAATGATTATCGCCTACTTAATGGAATGGGTGCAATTTTTCTCTTGTCTTTCTTTACAGATAAAATAAATGACCAAAATGTATCCATGCTTCGGGTTTCGTTATTTACCAGGATTGTAATGAGGTCATCAATATCGCTCCAGTTGACCTTCCTCGAATCTCTGTGTGATGTTTTAGTCGGGTCTTTCTTTCTGTTCACCTTTTCATATATTTCTGTAATTTTCACTTTTTCTTGTCTCTCTGTATTGTCTCCTTACACATCTATTATAAGGCGTTGTTTTGGCGGCTCCTCTTACTTTATCTTCTGTAAAATGCTCCAAAGTTGATGTACACTGACTTCCTTGTGTCATGGCTTTCATCTGTTTGAGCGACGTTTCCAGATTCTTGGAAAAGCCATAAGTCGACTTACATTGTATTTTGCATAGTTTCTGACGAATGAAATAGTATCAAGTTGTGGTCCGACATTGTAAGTTTCACTTTCACATTGTCCATTTCGGAGCTCGAGGTTGTTTTGGTGGTCTTATAGCAGGCTGTGAATAGGCTGTTCGCATGGACCATATTGTGAAAATCATCGATCTTAAAGGGGGTTAACGATCATGAACCTAAGGTACACTAAGTTTGATAAACATCAACATTTTCATGAGATTCAAGCGGGATCTTGTCGTCCACCATTAACAGATCATGGATTCTGTTAAGTAGAACATACATGTAAGCAAATGTAGGGGTACCAAGAGGACCATTCAAACCAAGTTGCATCATGATCTGTACGAGGCTTGTTTTATGCTAGACTTTCATATTCATCTCATTGTGGAACATGCATGACAAATGACTTGCATGCACACTGTTGTCCATTTTTCTTTCTTTCTAAATCAGCGAATTTAAAGCAAACACATCCAGGGACTAACAGATGATGTATAACATGCATCGTCATGTTTCTGCAGCAGTTTCTGAAAAGCGGAATACAAAATATAAGATGGCTCTCTGGCGGCCATTTTTCTTTCTTTCTCCATTAATCTCAAAACAATTAAGCATACACAGATTTGAACAGAGGGTTGGGGAAACAGCATACTCAGTTTCATCATGATCCCTCGGTATGATTGCCAAAGTATATCAGCAATGGACGAAAAGAGATTTCTTACTTAATTTATTTAACGTTTTTTTTTCAATCTACACGGCCTGGATGCGAGTGTGCAGATGTGCAGATGATCTTAATGTGGGAGGAAATTCGAGTACCCAAAAAACCCTATAACATTTAATGTCTTATTGGGGAATCAAACTCATGTATTTCTGGTGAGCGACAAGTGTGCTATCTACTAGCAACACAACCACTCGTTTGAACAGCCACCCATCTCATGACGATGGGCTAAAAGACCTGGTAATTGATCAAGGATAGCAGAGACCTGCTACGTCAGTACATGATTCACAAGAAATATATCAGCAGAATCAACAAAGCATGGTTAGATGTTTCATTAATGTGATTTTATTGAACCAAAGTGTTACAGACACCTATGGGTTTATTGTGTATGCAGTTGAAAATCAAAAAGCACTGTTTTCCTGATTATGCTGTGAACACCCACCCCTATATTTACTAGGCGGCCAGACACACCTTTAACTCTTTGTCTCCGTCTCTCTTTCCTCTCTCTCTACCTTCTCATCCTTAAAAGCCTTCCCTCTCTCCTCCATGGACTTCTTTTTTTCCTTGGGTTTTTTCCAGAGGAACTTTTCTCCCTAGCTCTCTATCTCCTATAAGAACTTCTACTCTCCCAATTTCTACCCGAGTAATCGAGTAATCGTCCTTGCCAACATTCTTTCTTTAAAAGAAATCATCACCCTTTCTATAATCCTCAGGGAAATTTCTCCTCGAAAATCTCATCCTTTTTCCCTTCAGGACTCTCTCAATCAAGGAACTTCCCTCACTCACCACTCTATTGTACTTCTTTCGCTCCCTTCCTCTGAAACCATCTTTCTCCATATATATATATATATATATGTCACACCAACATCGACCTATATGCACTTCTACTAAAGTATGTACATTATAAACATAAATACCAGAAGATATTGTCTTCTTCTATTCAGATTAATATACAATTTTCTTCACTTCGAAAAATATTTTGTAACATTCACGATTCGTCTTATATTAACTTAACAAACATAACACATACAAACATTAGATTTTTTGATTCAATGACCTGGTTTTCAGTCTGCAAACATATTTATTACACACTAGTCAATAGGGATGAGGCTGTTGACAATGTATTTCTCTAGTACACACTTTCATCATAAGGGCAGAATATTTTTATTTGAGCATTCACGCCAGTTAAAAGTTGCAGGTAACACAATTTTCAGTTAAATAAATGTATCAAACAGTAGTTTTGACAATCTTACATTCTCTAAATTTCCATTACATTTCTCATTAAATATTCTTTATAACAACAATAAAGCTAACAAAATACATTAATAAATATTTACAATAGCACAGAACAGGCAGTTAATAGGCAAAATTACACTTGTTCACGTTTTTTCTCCAAATTAGCATGACATTATCAAGATATAACAATGAAGGGCATGCAGCTTCATTCTTTTTTCTGCATGTTTTGTAACCTCTGATGAATACCATGAAAAAAATGTTTTTTACCGCAAGTAAACTTGATATTTCTTATGTGAAAAATAAATGCTTGTTATTTTTCCAGAAAGCTAACCTACTGGGCAGACGCATTTTACTTTGAAAAAAATCATATTATTTCATGATGATCCCGATCAAATGGACAATTTTGTTTTGTGCATCATTGAGGAGTTCTGTCTAATCAATAACATGGTTGTTCTTTGAGATGAATATGCATTATATTTCAACTTGTCTGTTAAACACTGTTTTTTCACTAATGTTTTGCACTTGTGAAAATATACCAGTGTCATCTTCCCACTTGATGAACATAACTTGTATTAATCAATCAATGAAATTTATTTGGTATTCCGTAACCTTAAACCAAGGATTTTGGTAAAAATCAACAGACATTGCAAATAAGACAATAAATGAAGATATTCTTGGTAATTTTTAAGTTTACCCATGAACTCATTCTGAACGAGTGAAAAAACATATACAAATAGTATACTTTAAAATTATGGCAGAATGCAAACATTCAACCGCACTTTGTTAAATAGTTTCTTCCTTTGAGGTGATATCGGTTTCCAACTGTGTTTTCGGTGACATAATCTTCTATCGGTCAAAATTGAAATTTAATAATTTTGCATTCACACTGAAATGGTGTCACAGTATCACGTTTTCAAAATGTCAACTGACAAAGTACTTGACATTTTACCTGGTATCTCATATGGGTGTATCACATGAAGCAAGTATTTCTCAGATAGTTACAGATAGGAGAAAGGACAGTACTGGTAATACATCAACTTAACAACAAAAAGTACTATAATTTAATAAGAAGTTGTATCACCCCCGTAAAACACTAGCAACTTCCTACTGACTCGGCTAGGGAGAATATCTTGTTAGCTCATTCAGGAGAGTAAACCAGCGGTTTTGTTCCCTAGCGGAGGACCTGATAAGAAGTTGTGAGGGAAGTCAACCATGACTTCCTGATAAGAAGCTTTGAAGCATGTCAAAACTTGGCTATCCTATCAAGTCAGGGAGACTTCCAGATCGTAAGTATTAAGGTGAGTCAGTTGTTAGCAAGTCAACCAAGACTATCTGGTATTTGCTCAAGATACATTACTCAAATCTCTGTTAATGATAAGCTAAAAGCAAATAGGATTTTTTTCGCAAAATGTAATAGATTACAGGAAATCAACTATCAGTGGAAATGTCCACAGAATATTATTATAAGCACTATTAATATGTTCAATGGATAATTTTTCAAACTTCATTGAAAATGTTGACTATGCCTCATGATGCACCATTTCATATGGACACAAACCGCCTCAGTGTAAGACCTATAATTGTCATTACCATACCACTGAAATAATTAATAGAGTTTTTCCCTACTTAGAGCGTGTGACTGAGAATTTTCAAATCCGAGAGGCTCTGCCTATGATAGAGTAATGACAACAAAATAATAACCTCAAGGGTTAAAGTTTTTTCTGTTTAAATGATGTCACAATCGCCATTAACTTTTTCTAATGTCACAATTTAGCCTGTGCTATTCTGCACAAGAATACACCCTATAGGGGTCCACAAGCTGATCTAGCCCAGCTTTAATGAGCATCACATTGCAGTCGCTGGTGGCAAGTTATTTTATGAAATTGGTAACAATATCAAAGGACATAATATTTAACACAATGATGCAAATTAGATTTCATTGTTTCAGCAGCTAGATATGGCAACCATTAGTTTCCATTTTGGAAAGCACTTACCAATGGAGATTTGGTGATTACCCATGATGCTTCAGAGTTTTCAAAATCAACTTAAGGGCAAGACGTTTAAATCTAGCTGATTTTTACTGAGAAAAATAAGACTACATGTACCGGTATATATATCACAGTACTCTTCACCAGACTGTGTGATTGTAGTTGACATTGAAGTCATTAAAACTTCTCAGTGACTAGAAAGTATTACCAACCATCCATTATGTTACATGAAATTGTGTATATGTAGTATATGTATAGTTTAAAGTAAAAAAAAATTATGTTGTATAGAGGACTCGGGCACAAGTTTGACAAGAGGCCTAGTGGGCCTGTATTGATTACCTACTATTAACTGTAACTTTAGATTGAGTCAAAGTCAATTTATTTAAACTTTATAGAAAGAGAGCAAGCTTATACTCCAGGTCAAATATCATTACTATATCCCTTATGGATACTTGTTTGAAGATTCTCCTTCAAAAAGTGACCTGAAATTAGGTCAAGATTATTTATTGAACAAACATGGCACTTATCACCAGCAAGTTACAAGTCAAGCACTGAGACCTTATGTTTTATTAATCTTATAAATTTGAAGAAGAAGTTGAGTGAGATTGACATGATACAAATGCTGCATCATGCAAATGCTTACAGGTACTTCATGCCAGGTGAACTACATTGTATCAACAAGTTAACGCAAATGTTTTATCTGAAGTCATTAAATGAACTCCATGACAAAATTTTATGTATTGGGATTTAAATGGCATGGAATATGAAAGTTGCTAAAAATATGTTCTGTTTACAGTTGAGATTTGAGGATACTAGCGACCTTACCTAAAAGGACTCTACACTTGAATCTCCTTTACTAAAGAGTTCCAATCTAAAAACCATGACAAATATGTCTTACGAATGGTTTTGAAATATGATGATATGGATGAAATGTACACAAACCATACACAGGACTATATGCAATAATAATTTGAACAATTCTGAATTATCACATAATGACGAAAATAAAAATTCCAACGAAGATAACTCTTATACAAGTCATCATAATAATGTGTTAGGTAGCATACATCCTTAACTACCAACTGATACCTCTGTAAAGATAGGTAGAACTGAACTCATCAGTCACAGCACTGCATGTGCAATGAAGTATATTGTAACGAGCAATGTTCGTGTGATGTCTATATAACATTTTTCATCACATTTTCCTAAAACAGCCCAGGTCAGATGTTTAACCAAAAGTATTTGTTGGTATTTTCTTTCACACTTTTACATTTGAACATTTTAGTTTCAATTTCTGCCATTATGATAAAAATCTACAGTTTAGAGTTCATGAAAAATACAGAATACACAAAAATAAAGTGTTTTACAGTACAGTCTCTGTATAACACTTTCCCAAATAAGTCTTTTATTACTTTACATTAAATTGTTATTTTTAACATTTTTTTCTGAATGACATTTCTGTTCATATTTATGAAAATATACCAGAAATTGCATTCAAAATATCTTAAGAAAGTACGAAATAAGAGCTAGATATCTATTAGAATCTGCTGAAGCCGCTTGTAGTAGCACAAATCTGGTACCAATAAATCCAAGAGTAGTTTATGTAAAACAAAGCTCAAATCTTATATACAATAACATAAAAAACAACATACTTAATCATCATTATGAAAAATTGATCAACCTACTGGCAGTCAAAATAGTATATGTTGTTAAATATCTAACATTCTTTGACTTGCGCTCTTTAAAAAAAAATGATAAAACAAATGTCCTCATCCTAACCAAACACCCGCATATTACATATCGTGACAATTCATATGAGTACATGTCATTGAAGTGATGAACTTCAATTACATTTTATAACAGCTTCATCTTAAAGCTAAATATTTCTTTGTTTACAGAGTTTGATCCAGACAACTCCACACCTCCTGACATGGCTGCTGATGATGATATTTTTGTATCTCTAATTGTGATATTATCTCTTGACAGTGAAGAGACAGATGCTATTTTTTATAGGTTAACTGTATTGATGAAGTAAGGTGGAGCCATTGTTTTGGCTTAACCTTTTCATAATTTATTCTTCGTACATATGATTATCACAACAAGAAATTGTCTTATACATAATGTTAATTCAATAAACCTCATCAAAAGAGTGAAATGAAGAAAACTTTCTTGATAAGAAATCAATATCCAAGAAAAGGATATTTCAGGAAAGTGAAAAAAGAAAAATTCTAATATTCACATCAAGTATCTGGTTACAAGGTATATTGCAGTATGTTGCTTTCTTAGTTGAAAGTTATGCAGCAAAGCAAATTTTCAAGCATGTTCAGATGCACTGAAAAAATCATCTTCCTTCGCTGTAGTTTAATATCTATTTTTCAAGTTTAGCAAAATTAATCATTTAGACTACATTACAAATACTTATAAAGAACTGTGTCACTCTTATGAGTTACACTTATGTATAAAGGATTACTATCAAGGTGGTAATATCTTCATGACTGGTGCAACAGTGAATTCCAAATGGCATCAAACAAAACGATCTAGACCCAACACTTATAAATTGTTAATAAATCAATGCTCAATTGAAAACAAAATATATATAAATTATGAGAACAAAATTTGTGTGAAATAAAAACTGTATACTACTACATTTGAACATTGTTCTCAAATCTCAATTTGATATGTAATTGCCAACAAAACCAAAGTCCATGTAGTTATTAGTCCAAGTAATTATGAGATTTGAAGGAGGGCCCCGAAACCCATGTCATCAATGTTTCTTTAGGCCATGTCATTCAGTGTGGGGATGGAGATGCACTTGAAGTTCTGAAAGACAACTTGTTGTACTGTGAGGCGACGACTTCCAGTTTTACGGAGGGAGATGTCAACTACCCACAACAGCCTCCGCCAGATTGTTGCTGTGGCTCGTCGTCATCAACAACCAACACACTTTTCCTGTTACTTTTGGAATTCTTCTGACTGTCTTCCCCTGCTCTCTGTATCATTGCTGAAATGACAATTGCTTTGCTGATTCAAAAGCTATTCATGATAAAACTAAAACGACATAAGCCAGTGATTTTGGGACTCAAGATATTTGTGTTCTGGACTTGTACCCTTTTTGTGTGAGACTCACCAACTTTTTGAGAAGTCACTTTATCTATCCAAGTAATGGGAGTCAAAAACTTTTTGAGAACACACTATACAAGTGTACAATGTGTAATGGGACTAAACGAGATATGAAAAGATGCTAGGGACTCACCTATTTTTTTTTTACAAATATTACTGTCATATAAAGCAGACATGCATTGGCTAAATTTATTTACAATACGTATATATGACCAAGCAGTGAAATCACAAATCTGTTGCGTTTAAGTAAAAACACATTTGAGGGCTTCCAAGTATGTTTCCATGGATGTTAGCACACTGGGAGTCTTAATGTGGGAGGAAACCAGAGTACCCAGAGAAAACCCACATGGTCAGGCAGGTGACCCCATACCTTTTCACATCCCATCGGGGAATTGAACCTAGCCCCCTTGGTGAAAGGCGAATGTGTTATCGAATGAGCCACCCAACCACTCTTAAATTGTTTTATATATATCTGAACTACATACTCTAGGGGTTGGGTCTATTTGTAATGGAATAACCTTGACAAAAAATGTGTGACATTTTAAGATTATTTAAATAAAGAGTACCATTAAGTTTTACATGTATGTAGAAGTCTATATCAAAAACTATTCTGATATCTCTTGCTTGCCTCCTGGACAGAAGAATCTGATTTTTGGTAAAAATCATACAGATATCTATTCTACTGAGTGTTAGGTAATGATTATGTGGGATTCATTCTAAGAATTTGTTAAACAAGGGCTGGGAAGGAAAAGAATCTCTCAATATTTATTTTCATCTAGATAGGGTTGTTTAAATCCACAGGACCCTGGAAACACAATGAATTATTATGCAACAACACTACATTTTTATAGACACTTGAACTTTTGAAAAAGTCCATTCTATTCGTTATGCTATACATCAATAATTACTCGATATAAATATAAATCTCACCTTTACTTAAGTCGAGAAACAGCTCCTCTATACCTTTATTCAGCTTTGCTGATGTGTGAAAATGCTGGGCTCCTACCGATGCTGCGTACCTGTAATAATATCAATAGATAACTTACTACAAATTAATAACCTTTCGTAGGATCTTGTCAATCGTTTATGGAAATTACTTCCTTGTTCTTCATAGCCACGATATATGTTTTAAATTATATCCCTGAGTAACTTTTAAATAGCACTGCTAGTGTATCCTAAATTTGCCCTGACATTTTCTTTCCTATTCTGCAATTCTGTAAGGTTTTTATGTTCTATTAACAGTTCTGGTTATTTAAGGACGAGTCAGGTTTTTGGGGTTGGACGCGTTAACCACTTGACCACAACAGCCCCTTTCAGTATAGTATAATACAACTTTGTTATATTGTGTCCTGAGAAATCACGGTGTTATAAAAGGGTTTGGCATTACATTTTATAAAGGGGTTTGGCATTATAAAAGAGTTTGGTTTTATAATGAAGTTTGACATTATAATGGGGTTTGGTGATACATGTGCAGGTTGACATGTAAAGAAAATACACCGGATTAGGTTTTGCATTCAATTGCCTTTGAACATCTGGGCCCTGGAGACTGGATTAGATTTGAAAATACAATTTTTCAGTAAGTTTCTCCATCAAAGATCAATACAACCTTCACAATATACCTTTGATTTTGAGTAACAGTCATTTCCTTGAAAGAAATTGATATGATGATTCATTTTTGCCATCTGAGGATCTAGCTATGATGTACCTTACAGGCTTGCCATCCATTTATTTATCAACTTCCAATTTACCTACCATAAAATATATTTCATAGGTTTGTTAGATGCGGAACCCTTTTGAAACGGAGACACATCTTACAGTTAGGCAGCCTCTAAAGTTAGGAATGCAATGAGGAAGATCTGAGTTACTTACGCCTCTGCCTCTGCTACAGATACATGCCGTTCCTTTTCTAAATCAATCTTGTTGCCAGCTATACATAAATTTATATCATTTCCCAGCATTCTTCTCAGCTCTTTCACCCAATTCTTTACCTGTGATTGACAACAAATATAGGTATCAATGCTTCTCACAATCCTTTCACTTGTGATTTGTTCATGATAGTACTTATATCAATTCTCTCTCACAAAAAAAAAAAATGTACATATATAATGAAATTTTTTCGGACATAATACTTGAAACATGTTCACTACAAGACATCTCATTATTTATTGGTAATATATTTTAAAATTAAGAATTCTTGCCTCAATGCACTGTATTTTTCCTATATACAGTAACCTTCCTTTAACTTCTGTTTATATGAAAATGTAGTACAGATTGGCCAAGATACTTCTGTTGACCAGGTTGCTCAATTGGTTAGAGTGCATGGTAGACATATTATAAAAATCTGAAGTACAGGCTTAAAATTCCCTTGTAACGCCACTGAATTTTCATTCTCATATCACTGATGCTGATCATCATTTGTTCATTTTATCTTTATAATTTCTAATCAAAGTCCCACAAGGTATGATTTTCTTTTCAGATTTGTTGAAGCTGTAGTCATGCTGGAAGTAATAGTTTCAAACCCTTGTTAGTTTTTTTCTCAGTGGTACAGGAATCCTTAAAGGGACAATTTAAGGAACTAATCTTGGTCATCGCTATATTTATCACTGGCTTTCCCCAAAAATAAAACTGATCACACTGGATGTTGGCTTCTGGTCATGTCATTATAAACTACATAAAGTTTTGTTAGGAGATTTACATTTTCAATTCTAAGGGTGTTATTTGATTAAATAGTCCCTTTAAAATGCGAGATTGCAAGTGTTTGGTAACCCTAAACCTCAGTTTGGTCAGTCCTTACTGAAATTACTGCTTATCTATAAAAATATTAAATCAGGCTCAAAATCCAACGACCAGGTATACTCAGTGACCAGTAGAATTGGCTCATAATATAAGTTGCCTCAGCCACAGGTGAATGAAACTTTTTTCAAATATGGTTCTTCTGTCTTTTTTTCTTTTCTTTGATAATTATTACTTCACACTACAAACATAGCGACCAAAGCAATATAATGGGGAACTTTCTTTAACTATTTCATTGTTGCTGAACTTTTTTCTCTGCTGGGCCATAGAGCACCTTGGTTCTAAGTAACTTGAGTTCTTGTGTTATGTATGTAAAATATCATATCATAAAATGAATAGCAGTCGGAGATATGTATATGCACAATGACGCCACTACTCTTTAGAAATAATGAACTACACTTTTTTTTGCTATACAATTACCTTCTGGAAGGAATCCTCATCTGTAATGTCGTACACCAGTAAGGCTCCGTTACTGTCACGGTAGTATATTGGTCCTAGGGCATGGAATCTCTCCTGTCCTGCAGTATCCTGTGAAAACCACATTTAATTTCAAAATTAATCCAGCAAGATATTTACACATAATATATTAATTAACTTGTGTAACTTTGATACAAAATGCAACTTAAACATATATCTAAGCAGTTTAAATTTAACTTTTGTATTTTAAACAATATCTTAACAAATTAACAAATTGATTCCTTTTCTAAGGCAAAATTATGAGATTCAGGTAGATTAAAACAAAGAAAAAGGAAAACTGTATCACATCAAAAAGTAAAATCTTCACAATTTATTTAAATTTTAAAATTGCATTGGAAAGAAACATATCAATAACTTATAAGGACAACTGACATTTACTCCTTTTAAAGTTTACACTTATATCGTGAGATTCCTGACTGCTAAAGTTCATATTCATTTGTACAAGCCATTCGGATTGATATGTCTCGCCTGTGCCCCACTTTGACCATCAATGTACATGTCAAGTATGGTTGGTCTAGCACTTATAGTTTCAGAGAAACTAACTTAAACGCACAAACTTAATGTTGATGGAGAAGCTGACTTAGTCAATGGTTAATGAATTGAAAGGCATCCAGCATTTGATGCATGGGTTGGGATGTACTATATATACCTAAGATGCATCTATGGTCCAAGTTTGGTTGGTCTAGTACATATATTTTCAGTGAAACTAACATAAATGCAAAAACTTAATGCTGACGACGCCAGAAAAACTACACCTTAGTCTCCCTTCTGCTACCTCGTGGCGGCGAGACAAAAACCATGGAAGAAGATCTAGATATACTTACAAATGTTTCATGTTTCTCAAGCTGATGTCACAACCACAAAGAACACATACATATATCTAACTTACATGATATGCAACACAAAGCGCTATATATATATCAATTACTGATCATGATACCATAGCATTAATTATATACTTACCCATATTGATAAATTCACCCTTTTCCCTCCAATATTTAATTTCTTATTCAGGAAAGAAGCCTGAAATCATTTTAAAAAGAAACATACAGTATTTCTATATTGTAATATTGATCAGATTTTGAATTTTGCTGTAACAGAATATTTTCTCCTTGACCTAAAAAGCATTTCTGTTGAAATATATATACATCTACCAGTTATATTACTACATTGTGAAGACAAATTGAACTCAACAGAGACAGATAATTTGAAATTCGTGTAAATTTTTAGAGTACAGTTTTAAAGAAAATGAAAAAGTCAGAACAGTTTTGTATTGTGCTTTTACACATGTACAACCTTACAGGAAGTATATGTCTTCACTGATCTGTTAGCTCACAGGAAGTATATGTCTTCACTGATCTGTTAGCTCAATGTCCCATTCTACTTCAGGTTAAATTGGTTAAGAAAATAGTATATCGTCCATTACTTTGACTTCATTCTATTAATTTTCTATTAAAACTGCTTAAAATGACATATACCATTACAGATATTCTACGACAGCTAGCACAAGGAGATGCCTCCTGATAAAATGTTTTGTAAAACAGAAATTAAATGGCTCTATAATCCACTGATACAAGAAGACCAATGTAACCCTTCCAGCAGATTAGAATTCAGGATTTATCTTAAACCCTCTTAATAGGGGTACTAAACACACCAAAATTGACCTGTTGGCCATATTGCTACAACTGGTAATTGCAATCTTTCATTTTCTCTAGATCTGTTATATCCTCCTTCTTTCAGTGGTGTCTCTCAGAATTAATTAAGTCAAACCAGAAATGACTAGAGTGTATGACAGCACTATTGCCAAATTCTAAAATAGGTATGACAGGACCTTAGAACTCAAAGATAATGTTGCGCTCTATGATCAATTCAATTGAACAACATTACTCTTGGTCGCTGGTGATCTATTCAGTCCAGTTCTGCTACATACAGAATACACTGTCTCCAAATTTGTTCTACTAATAACAATCATGCCTACTGATATTTAATTTCAAATACTTCTTGCAATTGTTCTGTAACAGCTAGAATAGATTTGTTGTATACATAATAATATAAAACCAGATATAATACATCTCTGGTTGAAATTATATTAACTGATCGTCATGACCAAAGTAAAATATCCTCCTGCTTTGCCAGCTGACACCTTTTCATTAGTGGGAGTGGATCACCAAATAACTCTCCAAATAAAACCTTGGTTACAAAGTTAGATGTGTGTGTCATGCAACGGCAACAGATGTTGTATTGAACCTCTGAATAATTATGCTGACAAGTGTGGCGATTTTTCATATACGGTGGACAAAATAACAACATATCGATCAATCGTCAGACTATATAAGACTAATCAATTTGTCACGTCTGCCACCGGCAATAAAACGATATACATTGCCAGAATTTAGGTTATTGGGAAGTGGGTCATGACGTCGACGGTGCCAATAAAACAGGTTGGGTGACCCATGACCCTTAAAAATGCATGAGCAGATAAAAAAGTATATAAAGTAATTGATATGCACCTGTAATGTAGTTAAATGTTTGTCGTTAAATTTGTTTTCAATGTATCGTAAAACAAGTGACGTTTTCCCAACACATCCTTCTCCAAGTAACACAACTTTGAAGGAATAATTGCGTCCTCCACCGGAACTAGCACCAGCCATGTCAGACCATAAAGTTCTAGATGAAATACAATTATCACGTGAATCAAATTCGCCTCCTCTGTCTCATTAATATTGTTGTTCTACGTCAGCTGAACATGACAAATTACCAGAAATACATAACATGGCGTTTTCATTGAATATTTGTGTCACATGAGCAAAGTCCATCGAACTTCTTCAGCTTTTCCGTTCTAGATGAGACTCGGTGAAGAAATACTCCGAATGAATTTACGTCGCATAAAGCATTACGAAAATCAAAATACTGCACATATGCATATTCAAATTCACTAATCATATTATATATTCCCTTTAGAACAGCACAAATATTTTTAATTTGATTTCATTAAAGTGAAAAAAGATTTACTTTTAAATTATTAATAACATTGATATACTTCCGCAATGTTTTATTTGCTAGGATATGAGCGGCAACAGGTGACCCCCATGATTAAACTTGACGTCATACACACACAACATAGGAAGATGGCATCGCAATCACAGGTAAATATCGGCGTTCCTGATAAACTTTACAACTGAATGTCACATATAAATTATTACAGCATACCTAATAATATTGTTAACAACCCCTTTAGATGTGTTCAAGCTCGAACGTTGCCACATCGGTTTGTACCCGAAATGTCCAGACTGTCAAATCTAAATATGTGGTGGTCACGATTTCAGATTTGTATACAAAACATGCAAAAATCTCATCAGCAATGTATCATGATTCATAAACTATATATAACTACATTACCCATTGTTGTTGTCATGGTTATTAACTGGCGAAAAATGTATTTGCAGCAATACATATATATTGATGGAAGTTAAAATTAGCATGTAGATCTTGAAATTTATTATGTTTTAATTGTATTGAAATAAATCAAATTGATCGAAAGAGAAAGTAAACAAAACATCCATAAGTTTCCAAACTGGTATATCTTTAATTCATGTATTTGAGTTTATTTTTATTTTTGTTAAAACTTGAAAGGAATAGATTGAAACACTGATGACTGAAATATAAAAAGGGGGCGGGACAATGTTGAATTTAATTACTGTAGTAGTAATAGTAGTAGTAGTAGTAGTAGTAGTTAGTAGTAGAAGAATGTTGATGAAAAGCTTATGCTTGTAGAGGCATCTGATTGTCCTCTTATCACTTGATACATTATCAGCAGAATATCCTGCAAGCAACGGAAAAAAGCTATAGAATAGTGCACATGTCTACTATACTACATATGTATATAGAATCTGTTAGCTAACTCAGAATTATAATTTTGTCATTAAAAATCTGGTGACATTGACACCATTCACTTATTGTCAAACTGAAGTGTATTAGGAGATGGAAAATGTATGTAGCATATTGTACTTATTTGCAGTCTGCAGTGGCTAAAATATAAATATTGCTAAATTTGGAAGAGTAGTCATACTAGAACAGAGTGTCTTATATCATTATCACCATCAAACTGCGGCGCCCCTCATGAATTTCATATGCGATCACTTGTAGGGGCATCTATATGAAAAAAATCACTACTTTCATCCATGCCACACTTCTACTAATTTTCTCCAACATTCTTCACAAGTATTATTCAGATTAGCAATGTTCTTCACAGGATTGCATCATAGACAAAGTACATATACTACTTTTTAATCCTGGTACAAACCCTACATTCACCTGTTGATTGTAATTAATTATCATATTTTAGGCTGCATATTACTATGGCTTATTTATTAAAAAACGGTGAACTGAAATTTATTTCCTAGATGCTTTAACAATTAAATTGACCCTTTTATCCAGAAACGCTACCAAGTTAGGCTTATTTACTGTCCTTGACCTTCAAAATTTTCTTGTTGCCAGATTAATTAAAGCATACTTAGACAGTTCATTAAAGAATTCTCTCCTTCTGTAATTATACTCTATTATCACAAAGTTGACCTAAATCCATTAACTAACTTCCTGTTTGTGCTTTATCTGTTTTAGGTTTTATTTGAGAGAGATGGCGTTTACATTCACGTGAATGTGAATTCTACAACAGCAGACAAAGATGCTCACATACCAGGAAGGGTTTACTTAGCTCAAAAGGTACAGTAGTAGTTTGTTGACATTTAGGTGTTGTCATCGTATGAGGACATATATAAGTATATGGTAGTCTTGGGAATCGGAGGTGGAAAATTATATCATAATCGATTATCGGAGGATTTTTAATGAAGGATTATCGATTATAATCGGAACATCCAAACTGGTAAATCTGTTTGAAATATGTGTAATAATGATGGTATATCACTCAGAATTGGGATTTGCAGCATACTTTTGCCATGTATATCCAATTGACAGCCTTTTACACTTTTAGTTTTAACCTACTACAATAATTTGACACAGCTAGTAAATCTGACAGATCTTGATAGAAAACAGCATGCAAAATTTAAACCGATTAATCGATCATCATCATGAAATTTATCAATCATTATTTGAAACAGTTGTACAATTGATTGACTTTTCAATTATAATTGATTATCGGAACAACACTTATATATGGTATTCTGCTCTTCATTAAAATTCATCAATGAATAACAAAATAAGATGTTGATTTTACTGCATTATGTTGTAACCTATCCGTTCCAAACTCTCTATTTAAACAAGAGCCTGTATAAACCATACCTCAGATTAGAGCTGTTCCAGAATGAACCATGTGGGAGGGGTGGGAGGCACTTTTTCAGCCCCCCCCCCCCCCCCCCCCCNATAAAATATTAAAAGTGATTTAATATAAATATAAGGAATGGTTGGCATATCTGGGTTTAACCCCACCACCCATAATATATTAGTTAATACATGTGCATCCCACCTCCCCCATACAATAAATTATGGAATGGCCCATAGTTTGATTTGATACATTTATATACAACATTTTTTACTTTTGTAGAAAACTGTATAATGTAGTGAAAAAAACATTTTTCATTAAAGCTGGAAATCCCTATTACTCTGCATATATACTTCAAATGATTAAACAAATTGTTTTTAGTTGTAATATAGTCTACATTTATATCCATGTAAATATGATGATACACATCACTCATTTTGTCTGCACATGTGAATTTGTTCTCCTCCACATAGTACATGTGAAACATATACTGTATACTGAGAATTGTTTTTCTGCAGTTTAATTTATTACCTTTTTCGCCCTTGTTACAGCATAGTAGTTAAGGGCGAATTTAGTATCCGGCGAAAAACAGACTTTACTGTGGAAGGACAAACATTTCCCAGTATATCTCTGGCCAGACTTTGTATACTTACCACAATACTCTTTCATCGTGTAAAGATGACAATAAATGTGACTCACTCTTTTATACAGCCTGAAGGAAGTTTCATAGAGTGGAAGGCAGAGGATGTTCAGAGCCTGGACAGCAACCAGAACGACCAGGAATGGGCTGTGATCGGGACGACTTGTTCCGTAGGGTACAAACCAGACAAGGACAATGTAGTTAGCGGTGAGTAATGTTTACAAGTATTTAGTCTTGAAGAATTAACTTAAAAATATTATTAGACTTTTAGTTTCTCTTGGGCATATCTCATGTACTGTTTCACCAACAATTGCCAAATTTTATTTTTATCTTTGGATAGCAAAGTGTTGTACAACTATGTACAACTATACAAACTTCTGATCATGTAACACACTATATATTTAGAGTTATGGCCCTTTGTTCATTTTTTATTTTTGTCTGGAGGTGGGAAACTATGAATTACTTGCAAAACTCTGCTTTGTTGGCATTATTTTGACCATGGAGATGATATACTGTATTAAATTTTTATTTTTTTCCGCCTGTTTATATTTACTTTTGTGAATTATGTTGATAGAAAAGGACTATAAGTGTAAGTGAATCATCTTAGCATTTTAATTATGTCAAGTTCAAACATACAGGACATATAAATTGTAAACCTAAAGCTGTGAAAGAAAATGCCTTATGATAGATTTCACTTCACTTAATATCACATTTTGGTTACTATCATGCTTTCCTTAAGCACTATATTCCATAGTTTTTAAGTTGAGACTAGTGAATATTTACTGAAAAAATATAGGTTCAACCGTTGGGTTAAAAGAACTTTCAAAATCAACCTACAGGCTAGTAATCTAAATATGACATATAGTGCACATTTATATGTATTGTAAGTGTTAGAATACTTTAAGCTCGAGATCTAGTTTAGTCAGAAACAGTATCGTTAAGCATCAAAAATCGTTTTTTCTCTTCTTTTAAATATGAAATTACTCTGTTGAAACAGTGTCTTCAAAAGCAGAAACAAGAAAAAGATACAATGTCAGTTTCGACATACTGGATTTAAAAAGTTTTAAGAGGAATGCACCAAACCATGGATGGGCCTACATAATTTTCATCCTTAAAGACGGAACTACGTATCCAGCCCTGCATTTCCACAGTGGAGGCAGTAAGGCTCTTCTCCAACAGATCGGCAAATATCTTCATATTAAAAGGTTGGTCTTTCTTTTTTTAGATTTCATTTTATGATATGTGAATTGCCCCAAAGAATCCTTGTCTTTGCCATTTTCATTATCGTCAAATCACAGATTTACTCTTGATCATTCACTGCGATGCTGAACACATGATCATTATACATGTCCATTATGCCTTTTATGCTTCATTGGGTATGCAGTTTTCTATGGAATTTGTTCTTTATTCCCGTTCAAAGTCACTGTAATCATATGTCTTACAGAAAAAATACTCTATTGATATTACAACAATTATGAAACAGAATTTCCCAACATAATAATAATCATAATTTGAGTTTCGTATATACAACTTTATCACAATCTAGTTCGTAGGTCGTCTCAAAACGGTTCACAAATTAGTATCCCTGGTTATAAGGCCATTGCAACCAGCCAATATCTTTCTCAACTCCCTGGGGAGCATACAGCCGGTGCTGCCATTTCTGCGCTCACAGCTAGCATTCTACAATTCTAGCACTGCCCAACCACGTACTACAGCTGATCAGTAGACTGGAACAAGCAGAGTGAAGTATCTTGCTCAAAGATACAACACAGTGCCTTGCCGTGACTCGAACCTTCATTCCTTCAGTCATGAGCCCGGCATCCTACCACTAGACTACCGTGCCTCATTTATATATTGATCACTCTTGTTGTTTCTTGAATACACTGGGGGGTTTTCAACTGATGTTCTGGAATGAACTTACTTTCGTAACAATTCTCAGTCTTGTTTGCTCATTCTGAAAAAATATCTTATACCAGACTGTTCATTTTTCATGAGTCAAAAATAGAAATGTTTGAATAAGCAAGTATTCTTCTATCAACGATGCTCATTTATATAGATAGTTCTAAAGACTGTAATGTTGATTATTTTCCACAGGTCGCCCAACGATAGTCGCCTGTTTATTGTACAAGAACATGATCCTGACATGCTGTCTAAGTCATTTGATGAGTTACACTTGTTTTCGGAGTCCTCAGCATACCGTGTCACAGTGAGTGCCTAGTGTTTCAATATAACCCCAGTTATGGTTGGCAGACACTTACCCATCCTTGATATCGAGGGGTTATGCTCACTTCCGCTCTCTGCACCCCTGGAATATGTCATAGCAAAATCGAAGGCTCAGTGCACGTGTGCACCACCGTGTGAATGAGACGGGAGACTAGTTTGTTCCTTTGATGTACATTATACATCAAAGAATCTGTCGGTCGTGTAATGGTAAAATTGACTTGCTCGAGTGTCGCTTCTCTGTAATCTTGAATTGATCAGGTTTCTTTACCCGAGACCAACCAAATAGTTAGTCCCTGTGCATTCAATTTCACTATGACATAATCCAGGGGTGCAAAGAGTGTAAAGTGAGTGCACGTGTAACCCCTAAGTTTTGAGGGCGACACTTACCAAACAAACATCAAAAGTGTTTTTCACAGTCGTTTGTGAGACTCTACTCTTTGAGTCGGATAACTGAATTTATGCCAAAAAAAAAATATTTAAAAATATTAGGTCAACTTTTATGATGCATCATGTGTTTTGTTTATCTCCAGAATTGTCAATAGAGTTCTTGATATATATCTATTAAGGTTCATAACAAAAAATTGGTATGTCAAGATATTGCTCTCTATGCCAATTCAACACTGTAAAGGGATGTTTACATATTTACATTTTTTTTCAAAATTTTAAGAAACATATTTTCTGAAACTGGTACAAGCTAAGTGTCTATAGAGACATTATTTTGATTGTTTCTAAAAATGTGTGTGTATCTGTATACACAAGTAAGATGAAATAAAACTTCGGCAACAGTGTTCTAAGAGTAAAAAAATGAGCTACAGAATATGCAGTAGATTCCTGGCCCCGTATGATTACAGTCATTTTTATAACAAACTAAAGGGGAGGTTATTACTGTTTACAGTATTTTCACTTAATATCACATCACATAATGTCACATTTCTGTGTATTTTCATGTTATCTTGATGCACCTTTTTCCTGCTATATAACCTATATATTCAGTGCCTGTTATTATCTCTTGTTTTGGTGTAGATTTCTCTTAATATCACTTTATATTTTGGCATGAGATCCACGCTATCACAAGGAGGTAAATACACCAACATACCCCGCCTCCAGTACACATACATGTACACACAAGCATGCATACATTATACAGATGGAGGCACATCCTTAAATGACCTTAGCTGTTAAAAGGACATTAAACAAAATAAAACCAAACCAAAGCTTCATTTTGGCAAATCTCACTAAAATAATTACAGTTAAATGACGGTAAGAAACCATGGATAAGCCCTTAACAAATGAGAAGTGATATTAATCGAAATCTAGTCTATATGAAAACTACATTTGAGTTATCTAGTATTTGCCTGTAGTAGGACATGTACAGGGATCCTTAAGCACACAAATTCACATGTTAAATAATACAATGTACCAGGCACATTATAGGGTATCTACAGTCCCCTGTCACAAATTGTAGTATATTTTCCTTGTAAGTAAATGACACATTTTGGATGTAGATGGATGAGGATTTTATTGAGTCTGATTCACAGGTGAGTATTATATTATGTGGTCATCAGAAAAATCTGTCTGCTAATCTCAGAACTGACCGGTCCCAGCACCGCCTTTTTCAGTATTTGTTTTCTTACTGGTACAGAAAAATGCTTTTCACTTTTCAAAACCAATATTCCAATTTGATTTTAACTGTTTCCCCTAAATTGCAATGACATTCACACACACAAAAAAGGGTGTTTAGCTTTCTACTTTCTGGTGCCGTAGACGAAGTATGGGGTTGGATCATATCATAATACCGGTAATCTAAGGAATTACATCATGTTGCAATGTCAAATATATTTGCCTGGTTACAAAGTCTTTCCGGGTCAGAAGTGCAATGCCTTGTTAGCTTAACAAATCCTGAATTCCTGAATATAAATCAACTTTTAAGTATATTTAAATTAAAAGCATTGTTATGTATTCTTAAAATTCCGGTTTTTAAATACAGATGTATCAATGTTGTTTTCGCACACTCCACATACAATTTTACATTGATTTTTTTATTTTCGTTGAAAATATATAAATATGAAAAGATTTATATTGATTTAACATTAATCTACTCGAGCATGTTACATTAAGGATCAGATGTAGGAAACAGCTGTCAACTGTGTTAATCAGTAACAAAATTAGTTTTAAGGGTCTTTTAATTAGAAAACATTGCCATTAACCCAACTTCTGAAAATGTTATACATTGTTTTTCATCCTTCTGAGAGTGTACAAGAATTCTCACATTAGATGATTATTTAAAATCCTAACAAATGTAGTTTACACTGTAAATATCGGTAACATTCAAATTTTTTGTTATTATTATTATTATCTGGTTAACCTAACAGAGCTTTTAACAACCAGGCCCTTAAATGTTCAAAATGTTTCAACACTAATGTAATAAGTGATGTTAATGATCTTGTATATTAAATATCAATGATGCATGTATGCAATTAATTAAATGTTTGCGAGATATTTTTTTAATGAGTAACAATATCTGTGATTCTGAAAAAAAGTCAATCTGGAATTCAAAATATTCACCTGTGCCACTGGACAGATAAGTCTCAGTTTTTACTTGTTCCTGACAGTTGGATGGCTTGTGTGGTCTTAAATCTACATTTTGGGGACCGGTCAGTTTCCAGGTGCTTCTACATTGTGAATTGATGCCATTTAATTACTAACTCACAGTTCAAAAAAGAAAGCACATTTTGTACGTAAAGACAATTCATTGCAAGCACACTTCAAAAGCTTTTAGAATAATTAGCTTCTATAAAATAAAATCCTATGAAAATTTGTCAGGCCAGGTTGGTTTAAAGTGGTATCTCGTGCATGAAATTAAAGCTGGTACGATCTATTGATTTATTCTTTGAATCAAAATTTAATCTAAAGTTTACCATCTTACATGAAAAGCATTTATTATAGCTACTTTGTGATAGGTTTGGAAGGTTTTACAATCAAAATTCTTATTTGACTAAATTGTTATGCTCAGAATTTGCTTATCATAGTTTAAATATGGTGTATCAATACTGTGATTTCATGCCTGTGTAATTGTTCAATTATCATCTAAAAGACTAAAACACCATTACTATAATACTTTATGCATCTGGGAGGATACATATTCAATGCACTGTTATCTGAGTACAAGTTTTAAGTGTATTTGGATGGTTTTGGGCACGGGATGTATTTGGATGGTTTTGGGCATGGGATGTATTTGGAGAGAATTCAGGAAGAAATATTCACCATTTTCATTGAGGATGAGCTGGAAATTGGACCCCAAAATAGTCTAAAACACAACCCTGGTGTATAATCAGAAAGTAGTAACAGAGTTTACTTTTTGTGTGGCTAATAATATAAGAACCTTTTGTAAAGTGCTAGAAGAAAGTTAGCAAGACATAATGATGTGTTGGTGTTTGTTTCTTTTATAAATTTGCCATTATACAAAACAGCAGTGTTTATATTTAAGTGTGGAATGACTTGTCCTCTATGTAACTACATCATATTTTGTTGGAGTGTGTGAAAACAATATTTTACGCCCCACCCCACACCCCACCCCAATCAGTCCCTTCATGTCTCTTTTATAAATAACTACATGTATATATATATATGCTTAAGATAATGGATAAGAATGCCAACACTCCAGAAGAAAAAATTGTAAATCAGAACAATTGAAACAAATTGGAACTCTTCTACATGGGAGATACAACAAAAGGGTGCTTGGACCTCTACCTTAACTTACATTTTCCATAGAAAAGCATTCTGAGATTAAAGAGAAGTGTTAACTGATGGAGTTGTTATATGTAATGCTTTCCTATGGGAAGCTAAGTAATTTCCGTAACTGATGGAACCTTAACTGTATATGTGGCCTAAAAAAATATGAGAAGTATAAAACTAGCCTGACAATGTCAATTTGTTAATCCAATAGATTAAGTAAATAGAAGGTACCTGGAACTCACGATAACATTGAAATTAACTGTATATGTGGCCTAAAAAATATGAGAAGTATAAAACTAGCCTGCCAACGTCATTTTGTTTCCCACATCTTACGGAAAATTGGTTAAAATTATTTATACTTATTGCGGCAGATTTTCTTTTAAGAACACAGCTTTGACATTTGACCCAATAGAATTAAATCTCTGGCATTAATTATAAGCTGCAGATCCCTTTGATGGTTGGTAAAATATGAGGGTGTGATATCGTGACCTAAACCATCTACCGGTAACGGTCCTTCTATATTTCTAAAGAGGGTCAATAGCTGACTATACAGAAAAATTGTTGCATCCAACACGTCAACCCTTTATGTCTGAAATGAATATCAAATTTGAGCTGTCGCATGGAAACCCTATATTATCTGCTTATATAGAAATATCAAATTTCTTTTTTTTCTTCATAGTGAAGTAATTTTGAAAGTACTTGACAGAACATGGTTTCATTTCCCTTTTGAGTCATCACTAACTGACTATTTACCCATTTGGTACCTGTCCCCACGGTTACCGTCTGGCCAAACAGATCCACTTTTGTTGAGTCACTTCCCCTGATACCATTAATAAGGACTCCGTTATTTTGCTATTTTCTTTCTACTTGCATAGGTGAGGCATTGCTTTACAAGATAAAAATATTTTTTACAGAACGAAAAATGACATAAAAATTGCCGATTGAAGGTTTTAGATGATTATATGTAATCATTGCCCCAACTGTCAAATCTCTTGTTCCAGTTTTTAGCTCACCTGCCCGAAGGGCAAGTGAGCTTATGTTATGGTGCGGCATCCGTCGTCCGTCCGTCCGTCTGTCCGGTGTCAACTTTTAGCTTTAAACAACTTCTTCTCAATAACCAAAAGGGCCAGGGAACTGATATTTGGCCTGTGGCATGCTGGGATGAAGGACTATCAAGTTTGTTCAACTGAACGCCCTTGACCAACTTTCAAGGTCACAGGGTCAAATGTCGTAAAATCTTCAAACGACTTCTTCTCAATAACCAAAAGGGCCAGGGTAGTGATATTTGGCCTGTGGCATGCTGGGATGAAGGACTATCAAGTTTGTTCAACTGAATGACCTTGACCAACTTTCAAGGTCACAGGGTCAAATGTCGTAAAATCTTCAAACGACTTCTTCTCAATAACCAAAAGGCCCATGAAGATGATATTTGGCCAGTAGCATGCTGGGATCAAGGGCTACCAAGTTTGTTCAAATAAATGACCTTGACCTACTTTCAAGGTCACAGGGGTCAAATATGTTAAAATCTTCAAACAACTTCTTTTCAATAAGCAAAAGGGCCAGGGTACTGAAATTGGGCCTGTAGCATGCTGGGATGAAGGACTACCAAGTTTGTTCAAATGAATGACCTTGACCAACTTTCGAGGTCACAGCGGTCAAATGTTGTAAAATAGTCAAGCGACTTCTTCTCAATAACCAAAAGGGCCAGGGTACTGATATTGGGCCTGTAGCATGCTGGGATGAAGGACTACCGTGTTAGTTCAAATGAATGACCTTGACCAACTTTCGAGGTCACAGCGGTCAAATGTTGTAAAATCGTCAAGCGACTTCTTCTCAATAACCAAAAGGGCCAGGGTACTGATATTTGGCCTGTGGCATGCTGGGATGAAGGACTATCAAGTTTGTTCAACTGAATGACCTTGACCAACTTTCAAGGTCACAGGGTCAAATGTCGTAAAACCTTCAAGCGACTTCTTTTCAATAAGCAAAAGGGCCAGGGTACTGAAATTGGGTCTGTCGCATGGTGGGATGAAGGACTACCGTGTTAGTTCAAATGAATGACCTTGATCCACTTTAAACCTTATGTCCTTGTTCAACAATCAAGGTCAGAGGCGTCATATGTTTAAATCTTTTAACAGGTTCATATGAAATCTTAAGATTACAAGTGTTAGATTAATAACAGGTCAGCGATGCAGGCCCATTGGGCCGCTTGTTAAGCAGTAGCATGGGTGCCGTCATGTTGCCCTCTAATGCAGTACGATCCCCTATAGAAAATTAAATGGTCCCTATGGGATAGCTCTATGGTTTCTGGACATTCAGATTCTTGTCCATGGTGTAATCAACTGCAAAAGGTGCATGCTGTAAAGAGGGATGACTGTATACTTACTTCCATTGGATTTACAAATGCAATATGATAATAAAAATATACTTTAAAGGTCTCGATCCGTACCCTGCCAAAAACTGTGACTGTGCATTAATTGGAAACTGTTTTTTCCCGGCATGACTATAGCTTTGATAAGTTATTTCTGAAAGAAAACCATACTTCGTGGGAATTTTATGAATCAATAAGAAAGATAAAATAAACAAAGTACAATCAATTACGGTGTACTTAAGGGTAAAGATTAAGTGGGGCTAGACCGTGAATTGAACACTGGACCTTCTGGACCTTTCCTATTGTACTCCCCTTACATGTAACTTCTGTTTGGATATACTGTATATAACTGTAGTAAATTTAAAGTTGGGCTGGGACACATCTGTTGATCAGCTAGCTCAATCGTTAAAAGTGATAGTATAAAAATCTGAGGTTCGAATCCCAGCAGTTTCCAACACTTTTTTGCAGTTTTTGGCAGTGGTACTGGGATCCTTAATATACAGTTAAAACTGTATTAGATAGCCCCTCTATTAAGAAAATCGTCATGTGTAACGGGACCACATTTTAAGCTCCCTATTGCAGTCATTTTCATGCAAACTGAATCAAGCTGTAAAAACCTGATGAGACCATTACATTTACAATTAATAACTTCCTGAAAGCAGTGTGTAAGTGCAGGTTTGACTGTGGTGTGATGTGGTGTAAGTTTGAATCATATCTCTTGGGAAAAAAGAAAATGATGTTATATATTTTGTTTGTGCACACATGTTAATAGGAAAGTGATGTAATGTATTTTGTTTGTGCACACATGTTAATAGGAAAGTGATGTAATATCTTTTGTTTGTGCACACTTGTTAATAGGAAAGTGATGCAATATATTTTGTTTGTGCACACATGTTAATAGGAAAGTGATGTAATATGTTTTGTTTGTGCACACTTGTTAATAGGAAAGTGATGTAATATATTTTGTTTGTGCACACATGATAATAGGAAAGTGATGTAATATATTTTGTTTGTGCACACATGTTAATAGGAAAAACAGATATACTTACGCTCAGAAATAAAAATCACCATATACTGTATAACTTTTGCTGTTTACTGACTCCATACGACGGAACCAACAATATTACCGTATTCATCATACAGTAACACCAGGGGGTTAGGTTTAAAATGTCATATGAAAAGTTATATAAAGGTGAGGGCTTATTACAGAAATATAGAATGCAAGAAAACGGAAATTGACAGTTGGACATATTTCTGTAAAAATAAGGTAGTTCAATGTACTGCATATATGTGTACAATTTGTTATTTAAAACTTTCACATAATTTAGAATATTGTCCTCCCAACTCTTCTGAATTCACTACAGACTTATAATCGCAGGACCAGTTACATTGTACATCTGAATACTAGGAAATGTTTGTAAGCAATGTATAGCTTATGAATTACAGTTAATATTTACTTCAGAAAAATAAAATAATGTTTTGGAAAGAAAAGGGGCTATCAGGTCATGTCATAAGAAGATTCGTTTGTAAATGTTCATTTTCTTTTTATGTAGCTTCTAAACTAGCCCCACCCCCACAAGTCATCAACTTACATTCTGTCCCAATTCTGCATGCATATCTGAACTATAATATACTGTTATTTGCATATATAAGTACAGCGATGGAAAGCTCAGAGTGTGGAGTATAGCTGAGTTGATTAAATGAAAATCTGAGTGGTTGTAGACACAATAGTACAATATGTCACCATGTAACAGAGACTATATGTAAAAGACTGGGGTATACACTCAACACTACAAAGATAACACCTGTTGTGGTTTCTTTATCACACAGTGTTAATCACCATCAATTATACCACATACATGTACCAGAACTGTAACATGATACAGTTTAATTACATATACATACTTACACACTGTAATGAACACTCTGCACTTCACCATTTAAGCCTAATTATCAGTTTCATAAACACTTGTTATAAGAACCAGTATGTTACATTTTTAAAAATGAGTTCCTGCTGATTTTTTGCAATATTTCACTATTTAAATGGTTATTTTCCATGTATCTAATAAGTTATGAGCTTTCCATTTAAGTGGAATTTGCTTATATATCAAAAGTAAATACTGGAATAATTAAACACACTGGTTTCAGACTTGAGGCCCAATAACTAGCACCTTTCATGCTATTTATCTGGCCCACATCATCAATACTCCAGGGATTACGCTCACTTTCGCTCTCTCCAGCCCTGGAATATGTCATAGCAAAATTGAAGGCACGAAGATAGCTGTTTGATTGGTCTCAGGTAAAAACACCTGACCAATCGCTAAAACCAGATACCCTATCACTTGAACATAGGTCAATCCCATTAACCACACAGAGAAACCATGTGTCACTGGTTAGCTTATATTACAGCTGCCTGTCATGATTGATAGTCCAGCATTTCCATGTAGCTTCATAATATTGTACAGTTTGTATGTAATATGTTTGGATTTCTCATTCTAGGATCATAGTGTTAAGAGTCGTAATTTCAAATTGATAATGTCCTTCTATGTTTATTTTTGGCTGTCAGTTAAATTAATGTCGGCATATCTGCTATTTAAAACAATTTAAAGCAAGAAAAGGAGCTTCAGTGTTATAAAGGGTATGTAATGTTCTCTCTGTTAACTATTGTAATGAGAGGAAAAGTAAACTCTTACTGCTGTGTGCTGTAATTGCTGTTGAAGGTTTGTTAGCAGTGTTTGAAAAAAAATAACAAATATTTTACAGGGATTTCTCAATGATGTTCATGTTTATACATAGGATGATTGATGATTGCAAGCAGAAAATTGGATGGTTTCGCAAAATTGTTATGCTTTTATCTTTCCAAATTTGATTACCTGTGTGGTAGAACTTTTAAGCATCTGGGTTCCTTTTACAGCTAATACTAAAATAATAAGTGTCCTTAATTATTAAGACAGAAAAAAAAAGAAAAAAAAACACTGATTATTATTTTAATATTTTTTTTTATTTTTGCAGAAATTTATCAATGATCCTTACACAACGGCCCTGGGAGGGTTTGCCAAAGTCACCAACTTCCTACGAGACTCCATCATGACTCCAGAGAATGTGACAAGTCGGCCGAAGGAAGAAGTGGCCGAGATTTTGCAGGAAGACATTCCTGGCATGGAGATCAGCCAACAAGTTGAAGCAGGGTTCGAGGTCGTAACCAAGGTAACAGCAATTATTTTGGCTTTGATTACAATGCAGGTAGGGGGCAGCAATTTGACCAAGATACAAACAGGAGGAAAGCAATTTGACTTAGACCTTTGAGTAGGGCTTGAAATATATATGGAATTTTGTCATAATTGTTAACCACAAGGAACTGATGATTAAGTATTGTTTTTTCGTATAATATTATTTCTTAAAGTAGTTAATCTTAGTTGGACAGATTGCTTCGTAAAGACACAGCTGGACAGCACAGTTGTTCAAAAATATAAAAAGAAAGTCAGATATATACATTTGGTTTATTTATTCTGTAAGTAGGCATTACCAACTAGGTATCTTGTGTTTATGTTACAGACTAAACTGCCCAATCGTCCAGAAGTAACCCGAGGGCAGCCTCTCAATTCACAGCAGTGGTCCAAACACATGGACAGGGATGGACAGATAAAGGATGTTGAGCATCTCAAGGATGTCATTTTCAGAGGGGTATGTATTCAGTGACTTTTTTTAACTCTAACACAAATCACAGTTGTAGGGTGTAATATAACATATTCCCTTAGGAACACCTGTACCGTTGTCAGAAACTGTAACTTTTCATTTGAAGTCATTTCTTGAAAAAAAACATACCTTGTGGAAATCTTATGAAAAACTTATTAAGACAAAATAAATGTCACAATGGTTTACTGAACCCTGGACTTTCGATTTTTATACTGCCGATCAAACCAACTGAGCAACCTGGTCAACAGTAGTACCTTGGTTTACCTGTACAACAGTTATACCCCCAAAAGAATGAAGGGGAGGTTACTGTATGTATGAAGAAATACAGTGGAGTTCTCTAGTGTTTTACCTACAGTGAGACAGGGACCCTTAATACAATAAATCTGCTGTGAGAGGACAAATTCAGCATGAAGGCAAATATTTTGTAAAAGACAGAAGGATAACGCTCGAGTGGGACAATAAACCTAACGTTTTCATTGTTTGCTATCTTGTATGATTCTGTGTTTAAATTTGCTGTGCCTTTGTGTTACAGGGTGTGGAGCCCTGTATCAGGAATGAGGTGTGGAAGTTCCTACTTAATTACTACGACTGGCAGTCCACATACAAAACTAGAGCCGATGAAAGGAAGCGCAAAGTGTAAGGTTTTATAGAGGCTCCCGAACAGGGAGAGTTGGTTGTTAGCTTTATCAAACTCAAATTTTCAATAAAGACACAAGATTTTACCAAGTATCTTTTAAGATTATCTAACAAGAGTTACACAAACGTGATAAGGAATAATTCAGAAATAAGGAATCAGTTTCTCCTATAATGATCATACTGTATACTGCAATGATGGTGAATTTATCATAACAGATAATATTAACTTATTCACCCCTGAAGACACATTTGAACTCTTCCTATTCAAAGGGTTTCAATAGTTCATTATGAAATTGCAGGGTGAATGAGTTACTACACACCACACCATACTATTCTTAGTCATTACGTGTGAAAGACGAAATTAACGCGGGGCAAAAATGGATTTTCCTGGCAAAGGGCGAAAGTTTCCCAAAAGTCTCATAACAGGGAATATTAGTACACACCATCCTATTCATAGTCACTTCATTTGAAAGATGAAATTAACACTGGGCAAATATGGATTTTACCAGCAAATGGTGAAAGTTTCCCAAAAGTATCATAACAGGGAATATTAGTACACACTATACTATTCATAGTCACTTCATTTGAAGGATGAAATTAACACTGGGCAAAAATGGATTTTACCAGCAAATGGTGAAAGTTTCCCCATAAACAGTATTATATCTGAAAAGTCTATTTAGTACACTAAATTCTAGTTTATAATCCTAGTTTACAATCAAAACAAAAATCACAAATTTTCATAAGACATAACAATAAACAGTTATGTTAACTATCACTACTGTATTTATAAGCCATTAATCTTCTATTAAATGCTCATTAAAAACATTCATTAAATTGCCCTTCATTTTGAAGTTAAAATGTCATTAAAAAGTTACATGAATGAGGGCTTTTAATTATGCAATATAGCCATTAAAAATTATGCCACAAAGCATTGTAACATTATCTTCAGTAAGATTCATCACTTTGGAAATATTTAACACCAAAAGTTTTACTTTATATACACAAACAATATGTGTATTAATATCTTTGTGATACAGTGTGTATACACTCTTCTATAGGCGAAATGTCCAGTGTCAAGTGACATATGAAATTTACAATTCGTCACATCATTATACAGGTAAACAATACAGACCACTCACAGCTTGACAATGGGACCATACAGTCTGGACATGTTTAATATGAACAAAGTTTGTGTATAAAATAAAATTTTGATATTGCATTGCACCATTCCATTTTTTTGTGCAACCCAATATCATATAATGGAAATACAGTGTTTGTATATGATGTTACGGCCATGACATAGCTAGGTTCTATGATATTTGAATGCAAACTTGTATGATTTAGGGATGACTATTTCCGGATGAAGTTACAGTGGAAGACAATCAATGACGTCCAGGAGAACAGGTTCTCCCTGTTGAAGGAAAGGAAGTGTTTGATAGGTGAAAATTGTTTGTTTTTATCATTAGAGCCCTTTATTAGAGAAGTCAGGGCCCTGTAGTAATCACAGTGTCTGTTCATTCGTCCACACTATTGTTTCTAGAGATTATCTTGTAACCCAAAAGACTTACCTTTCTAAAAGTATTTGACATGGTGATACACTGTGCAATAACGGTTTAAAAATGTCTAGGGTCAAGGTCATTGTTACTAAAAATAGACCTTGGGGGTTATAGTCCTTACCTTGGAATCCGAAAGTTTAATCTTTTTGAACTTCGACATGGTGAAGAGGTTTTAAAAGTTTTTGTTACTGTTACTAAAAATAGACCATGGGAGGGATACAGTCAGGCACAGGGAAAGGCACTTGCTGACCTGTCGGTGTTCTGTTTAGCTAATGTCGTCTTTAGTAAATATAAATATCCTATCCATTCAGATGTGCAGTTATGGTTGTCACATACTGTAAAATGAGACATTTTCTATGTGTGGCAATGTTCCAGATTGGGGTGTGGCAATGTTCCAGATAGGGGTGTGGCAATGTTCCAGTTAGGGGTGTGGCAATGTTCCAGTTAGTGGTGTGGCAATGTTCCAGATAGGGGTGTGGTAATGTTCCAGTTAGGGGTGTGGCAATGTTCCAGATAGGGGTGTGGCAATGTTCCAGATAGGGATGTGGTAATGTTCCAGATAGGGGTGTGGCAATGTTCCAGGTAGGGGTGTGGCAATGTTCCAGTTAGGGGTGTGGCAATGTTCACATTAGTAATGTTCACATTAATCTCATATCTGTATATTTTATATCTCTATAATCTATATGATCTGTTTATATATCTATAATCTATATGATCTGTTTATATATCTATAATCTATATGATCTGTTTATATATCTATAATATATACGATCTGTTTATATATCTATAATCTATATCATTTATATATCTATAATCTACATGATCTGTTTATATATCTATAATCTATATGATCTGTTTATATGATCTGTTTATATATCTATAATCTATATGATCTGTTTATATGATCTGTTTATATATCTATAATAGTTAAATACTGTTTATATATATTCTTGGTTGGATATTTGTATGCTGGTTTACTTGACGTAAAAATTGTGAGCATTTCTACTGTGAGAATTTCCACTTTTACAAAAGTTTCAGTGTATTACAGGTGACAGATCGTCATATTTTGTAAGATATTTCTGTAAGATAGCTTCATATTTTGAGGGTTTACGCGGGTGTAGAAGAGTAATAAACATCGAATTACTGTTTTCATTTACAGAGAAGGACGTGACACGGACGGATCGTACACACAAATTCTTCGAGGGAGAGTGTAATCCGAACCTTCAGGTCCTCAACGATATCCTCATGACCTACTGCATGTATAACTTTGACCTTGGTAAGCATGACAATGGTGTGGTGGATTGTCTCCCTTTAACTTGAATAGTCATGGCTTTTTTTCTGTTTTTTTCCCACAATTATTCTACTTCCCCGAGCCAAATATCATATGTATATAATACACTGATAAGTATATACAGATACATATAAATAATTTGATAGGAACAGCCTGGGCTTGGGAGCCCTTGAGTCAGTCCCCTTAACAATATGGTGTCCTCACACAGGAGGGCTCTCATTCACTATTCTCTCTGCTTATTATATCTAGGTCATGGTCATGGCTTGTTCATACCAGCCAATGGCATTGCAAATTAACTTATTCACCTCTGAAATTTCATAATGAACTATTCCAGCCTTTGAATTGAGTTCAAATGTGTCTGCGGCATACTTGCCAACTTTTTATAATTTCCATGGGAGATATTGCGCATGCTCAGAATAAAAAGCAAATAAAATGTGTGTATGTACATACACCTTTCAGATGAAATCACCAGAACTTATAAAATAGGAATAGTTTAGCTAAATTCACCTGTTGAAAATGCTCAATTTTAGGGTCTGAAATCGGGAATCTCCCTCCTAAATTGAGGGAGTTGGCAAGTATACTGCAGGGGTGATGGAGTTGAAGTGCCTTAATATTACATTGGCTAGATAACTGAGATATGATTGAAAGGAAGAAAGGGAGAAATCTCTCCCCAAAAAAGGTTTATTTTAAAAATTACCATTATGATAAGAAAACAACCATCAATACAGTATTCAATTTTTAGGATTTGTCTTGTTTTAGAATGAATGGGTATGGTAACTGGAAGGAAAAGTTTGTATTTTACATGTGGTGTTTGAATGTTCTGACTTCAGGCTACGTACAAGGAATGAGTGATCTGTTGTCTCCTATTCTTGTTGTCATGGAGAATGAAGTGGATGCTTTCTGGTGCTTTGCTGGTCTCATGGACAAAGTGGTAAGTTTGTACATAGTGGTACTGTAAGTCTGTAAACTTATCAACATAGTGGTTAGTTTATAAACTCATTGACATTATGTTTAGTCGGAAAACTGGACGATTGGGGTGATGAGTCTGAAAACTCATCAAAAGAGTGGTAAGTCTGAAAACTTATCAGCAGAGTGGTAAATTTTAAAACTGATGTACGGAGTGATAAGTCTGAAAAGTTATGTACAGACTGATAAATGTGACAGAATAGTAAGTCTAAACACTCAGTGATATGATTGAAAACTCACAGGTAGTGATAAGTCTGAAAAGTTATGTACAGACTGATAAATGTGACAGAATAGTAAGTCTAAACACATGAAAACTGATGGACATAGTAGTAGGTCGGAAAACAATTTGTAGCATCAATTGTGGAAAAAAATCACTTGCATATTTGGTTGCTTGCAAGGCCTCGGTGAACTTCATGCAAATTAAAATTGACTGCAAAGCAATTTTTGTAAATTTTGCTGAAATATCACTTCCCATCAACAGGCCATGCACGCAACCAAATATATACTTGGAATTCCTTCCTTCTGGATGTCTTCACTTTCTTCCTTAAAGTCTATGTCGTTTGAGTGATTGATTCAAATCTGTTGACAGCGTTATTTTAGGAGGACTGCCAAGTGTCACATTGGCAAATACAAAGTGTATAAAAATAACAACATAATCAAATCATGTGACACTATTTGTGTTCATAGTGCTATGAACGTAACATAAGTTTGATTGGTTTATATAGTGAACAAACAAAAAATTACAAAGAAATGTAAATATGAAATTATTGATAACATTATGTTAAACAGTAGTATATTCTGGAGATTTTGGGGAGTTAGTTAAACCGATATGAAATGGGATCGTAAAGATTTTAGGCTATAATTTCTGATGTCGGGATGTCGTCCATTGTTATATAACTTGTCGTGTTTTACAGTGGGAAAACTTTGAGATGGACCAGAAAGGAATGAAGTGCCAGCTAGCAGATATCCACAGACTGATGCAGTTCTCTGACCCAGAACTGTGTAGTTACCTAGGTAACAACACAACCCCCCCCCCCCCCCCCCCCCCCNGGACAAAAGTCAGTTACTTGATAAATTACATTCTAGAAGAAATGTTCTAAAACATGTCATTCATGTCATTGGTAATTCACCAATGAAACCTGTCTTATCTGACCCCTGATTATTCGGACATTCTGTCTAATCCAACAAAATGCTGTATTCCCCTTTGTAATGAAAACTCCTGATTAAAACTACTGTATTCTGATGCCCTGTGTAATCTGACAAATATGTTGTGTCCCACAATATATCAGATAAGATAGGTTTCCCTGTGCATATACTTTCAAATATCAAAGCAAGGAGAAATCAATCTTTGTTTGAGACTATTTAAACTGGTGAAAGTCAACAAGTTTGAATTATAAACTTACATACAATATTTTTCATTCCCACAGAGAGCCATGATTCCGGCAACTTCTACTTCTGTTTCCGGTGGTTACTCATCTTTTTCAAGAGAGAATTTTCCTTCAGTGATGTCCAGCGTTTATGGGAGGTAAGTGTCTCAATAAAGTGACATATAACATTGTGTTATAATTGTGGACAAGTGATGATATGTTTCTGATGAAGTCAAGAAAAATAAGAAATGTTTTAAAATGTCAATGTTGTATATTATACAAAACAAATTATTTGTACTCTAGAGCCAGAAAAAATCTGGGAAATATATGACATACTCATTTATTAGCCCCCACCCCCACCTGTTCATTTTAGACTCCCTTCGTCCCAATTCCGAAAATAATTGACCACAGCATATTTTCTATACTATTTCACCTGGAGTAATCATATTTGGTATGCTAGTACATCTATTACTGATGGCATGTCAAGTACAAAAAGTAGGTCACTGTGACCTATGGTTTGACTTTTGACCTCAACCTTTGATGCAGTTTGTCTGTGGCATATCTTCCATACCATTTCACCTGATGTAACCAGATTTGGTATTTAAGTATGTCTTGGCTGAGTGTGGAGTACAAGAAGTATATCACTTTGAACTATATCCTAAGATAAGTATACATGTACAGATTGATAAACAAAGAAATAAATTGCTGTTGGGGACTATGGACTATGGAGATTACTGCATCTATGAATAACAAGATTGGAATTCTTTTGTGGTTTACCTGCAGTGCGACAGTGATCCTTTAAAACATTTAAAAAGTATTTTTGTTAATTAAAATTTGTTTTGTTGTAGGTGATATGGACGGAGCGACCCTGTAAGAGTTTCCATCTAGTAATATGTCTAGCTATATTGGATACGGAGAAAACCACACTCATAGAAAACAAATTTGGCTTCACAGAAATCCTAAAGGTAGGTGTGTTGTGTAATGACAAGGTTTTACCTGTCTCCAGGTTTGTAACTTTTTTAACTTAAATGAGATATATACACAATCTTTTTGACCACCAACAAATTCCCTTTTCGCTTCGGAAAACTTATTTGAGACCTCATTGCACATCTACCCTTATATTTTTATCAATTAATGCCCTTCAATGCAAGCCCTTAAGTAATACCTGAAAAATTATATTTCTTGTTAAAAAGTTATTAAAGAGGAATGAATAAGTATTTGTGAAACTTCTAAATTGGTAATTGCATCTCCACATGTACTATTACAGATTTTATTTAAATGAAATTGAAAATCTCATGGACATTTCCCCTAAAGTTGCATACACTAATACATTATCTTACATTTTTGCCAGTAAAATATCAGATTCTATCAACTTGTCACAGTGTGAAAATATCACTTTTTAGGTCACCTGAGCTTTGCTCAAGTGACCTATTCTAATTGCTTTTCGTCCGTCGTCGTCCGTCGTCGTCCGTCGTGCGTAAACTTTTACATTTTCAACTTCTTCTCAAGAACCAGTGGATGGATTTTTTTCAAACTTGGTCAGAATCATCCTTGGTAGATGAGGCTTCAAAATTGTAAAATTGGGATTCCTACCCCAACCCCTGGGGCCAGGGCGGGGCCCCAAAGGGAAAATTAATCAATATTTCAAAAATCTTCTTCTCCAGACTCAGAGGTACTACAGTGATTTTCTCTACGTGGAAAGAAAGATCATCAGGGGCTTTACTTAAATTGTAAATTTCAGGACCCCCGAGCTATCCGTTCTCCCTTGGGGAGGGGGTAAAGTTTACTATAGTTTATATAGGGAAATAACACTTTTGGGTATATTTTGACAACTTTCTGTAGGAAATTATTTTTACTTGGTGAGAATTATCCTTGGAGGTAGATGGTTTCAAATTGTAAAATTGAGATTCCTACCCCGACCCCTGGGGCCAGGGCGGGGCCCCAAAGGGAAAATTAATCAATATTTCAAAAATCTTCTTCTCCAGACTCAGAGGTACTACAGTGATTTTCTTTACGTGGAAAGAAAGATCATCAGGGGCTTTATTTAAATTGAAAATATCAGGACCCCGAGCTATCCGTTCTCCCTTGGGGAGGGGGTAACGTTTAATATAGTTTATATAGGGAAATAACACTTTTCGGTATATATTTTATCCATTTTCAGCAGAAAATTGCTCAAACTTAGTCAGAATCATCTTGGGTAAATGAGAGTTTTACTTTGTAAAATTAGGATTCCTGCCCCATCCCCAGGGGCTAGGGCGGGGCCCCAAAGGGAACATTTACCAATATTTTCAAATTCTTATCCATTGATGACATGACAAGTATTGTATTTCACTTAGTTTACATGCTGATTTCCACATCACATCTAAACAATAAAATAAAGCTACCAGTACCTATGATATAACTCAGGTGACCGCTAAGGCCCTTGGGCCTGTTGTTGTATTGACCCATCACAAAGATATCTTCTATTCGCTGCATTCAAAGGCAACGATTTTTTGTTCAGATTCAAATGAAGCAACGGTAGAATAAGTGGCTGCTATGATAAATGTTTGGTACACACACTTAATTAAGTAGTTACATTAATATACAATTAATAACATTTTTGTAGGCAATCATACCAGAACATAGCAGAAAACATTGGAATTGTGTTGAGTATCCCATTCAAAATGGCGCACAGCCTTGTCAAGCGTGACGTCATTAAAATATGGCGCTAATTATTACGCTTCTGATTCCCGTCCTTTTTTAATGCATTACATTTTTCATGTATTATGCTTTAAAAATTTGATAAATAGAAAATTTAATGGTTTCTTCAGTAATAACAAATATATTTCACTCGTGTGGCACTCGTGAAAAATATCAAAATATTAGCCACACTCGTGAAATATATTTGTTATTACTGAAGACACCATTAAATATCCTCTATGTATTCATATCATGATTTATCATATGAATACCACGTTATGCAGTGTCATAAAGCCATCACATAAATCGTGTTTATGTAACGGAACCAACCTGACCTGAACTAAAGTAACGGCGTTGGCTCTACTCCTGGATGGATGTTTATGTAACGTGTGTAATATCACTCCTGACATGACGTCACAATCGAATAGTAACAATCAATGTGACGTCACATCATTGTGAAGCGGAGACAATTTTCATCGCTTAAGAGGCGGCCAAATGCAAAATATTCATTTCAGATCACAATTATACAGTTAACATTGTATTATATGATAAAAAGAATCTGTCATTCGTTTCCTTTCATATAAGATTTATGATTCTCGCCAGAGGCTCGCAAACATGAAAAATCCAAAACTTGTATCATAAATATAATATGAAGGGAAACTTATGACAGATCCTCTATGTATCGAAAACTCAGAAAAAATATATATCATGAATTGAATCGAAGATGAATAATGGCGATAAATCGTGACGCCTCTAAGATGAAATAGATATCTTGCAAAACTAAATTGATTAACAATGATCTTTGAACAGTTTGATCTGGTTTTATCTATAAATGACGAAAGTGACTTAAAGTTTTTACATTTGCATCAACCCTGCGACTTATATCCCATTTACGTTGACTCTCACTTGCCTCCTCTATTTTATATAGCACATCAATGATATGAGCTTAGCCATACACCTAGAAGAAACCTTGAAGAAAGCAGAGAGCATATTCCTACAGCTGAAGAACAGTAAAAAGCTACCCGCAACGCTGAAAGAAATTTTAGGCATGGAATTGTCTCCAAGCAGTTCAACATCAAGCTCCTGCAAAACCACGCCGATAGGGACGCCAATCAACCGTGAATCCACGCCAAAACTGGAGCTCCCCTTCCAAGGACGGGAGAACGGACTGAGCGCACCCAGTTCGGGGTCCGGTACTGCAGTGACGACACCAGACGACAGTAGTCTGGAGATCCTTACAGATAACGCAGACACAGCCATGAACCTTGTCTACAACTAGTTGACCGTCAGTCAGCCATGAAGTGTGACTTCTGAGACACCAATATGTTGTACCTGCAGACTTGCCGTAAGTCCAGATTTGGTGCTGTTTATCACATACACCATAAATGTGTGCAATGCTGCTTGATTCAGCTGACACTGTGTTGGACTTGTCTGCGCGGTATTTTGTCATGGTCTGTCGAGTGCGTGATGTGCCAAGACTGACCCTCTTCTGCTGGCACAGGACATCAAATCTAGTCCATGAAGCTGACTGCTACTGTTAGTCTGCCAGAGTTCGAAGATGTCATACCAACATCTCTATGTGTGATGTGGACGCCTATGCTTCTCCACCTCTTTGCTCTATGTATCTCAGCAGCAATTCAAGATTTCAACTCCTCTGATCTGAGTGAGGGGTCTCTCCAGATCTACTTGATAAGCTAGATACTAATGAGGACATTTTGTGTACAGTATATTTCTGTGATTCTTTGAAAGCAGTGATATATTGAATGGAAGTTGATAAGTCAGTAGCATTATAGATCTATATAGCTGTTTTTGGTGGTATGATAGGATTTTTGATAAATGCTGAATATGATAGATCCCATATACCAAAATTCACCCAGTAATCGGTAGTACTAGATTAATTTTAACAAACTCTTGCCATTAGTACTGGTAGTTATTGTCTAGACTGGCCATGATATTGAACAAAGTTCACATCATAGGCCCTGATAAAGCATAAGTGGTGGCCCTGATCGTGCGCATTGCGATTGTAGGCTCTGATCATGCACAATGATGATGGCTCTGATTGTGCACATGGTGATTGCCTTAATCGCATACAGAGTGAAGGGCCTGATCAAACTTTTAATGATGAAGAAGATAGCCCTGTTGGAGTAAAGGTGATGTCCAAAGTTGTGCATGTAATGACCGCCCTTACTGAGCACATGGTGATGACCCTGATCAAATAAAACTGCAAAGATAGTAATAGTTTTGTTGATAAGTTTGATCATTGCTTAAACTTTTTATTGCAATTTTAGAATTATAGGTTTGTGAAAGATTCATACTGCATACTACATAAATATTTATGGCATTCTTGCACTGTTTACATGTAGTTCACTGTTACAAATTTTATAACACAACATCCACTAGTTCTTGAAGTCGTACATTTTCTGAAAAGTGTGAACTGGTGACCAAACTACAATGCCTTGTTTCCCTGTTCTGTGGCCGTCTTTATACAACGACATCTACACACACAATTGCGCACATTTTAGAAGTATATCTTTAAACTACTACACAATATTGTTTTGCTGTGAAGGTTAAGATTGTGCTCTATTTAAAATACATAGTCTTTATTCTCGACCTAATGTTTTACAATTAATATAACTATAAATCGTATCGAGACTCTCTGTTTGTAAAATTTAAATCTGACCTTACCGACATCAAGGGTCGTTATTTCTTTTTGGTCAGATTTGACAGCATATGTCGGTTAACACAGAGGAAAGAGAAACCAGACTTCTTGGTAACATAAAATTGTGTCAGTCATGAGAATTTACAGGATTTCTCTCAACTCCAGTGTCAGTTAACGTCAAGTGTTTACGGTAGGACTGTAACGATTCTTCCGGTTAGATTTAAATTCTTTAAATTGATATGTCCTCATGTTGTATCAGATGCTATTTTACCACAATTATTAGGTATACAAGAGAATTACAGGGTAGGCCATTATGGTGCATTTATTTTTACATTGTGCCAATATTGACACATTTCACTATTAAACTGTTACATGTACATTTAATTCAAAAGAGACAACATTCCTTATATCAAATATCTCTGTTTTCAAAATCAATTATTTAAAGATTAGTTATTTTTCAACATATTCAAATCAATGAAACTGTTTGGCACAATGGCAGACTCTTGATGGTGTTATAACGCTGTTTAAGTGCCCAATAGGTTAACCCAACCACTGATTAACTAGGTACACTGACAGAATTTAATACATAATATCCCTATTAGATACCCATGTTATGTGATTTGGGGGCATGCATAATGTACAATTGGTAATATTTGCTGAGGATTTAATTTTTTGTTGTTTTCTACCACCAAAGATAGCGCGTATTTAACTACCCAGCTATTATTAAGACGATGAATTATAATCCCCATGAATATATGTTCACAAACACAAAAAACATGAACTGCCAAGTAATGAAGATGGAACAACAACTATATATAAAACATCCCCTTTTACTTTATTTTCCCCCCAAAAAATTGGACCATCGAAATAAATCACATTGCCCAAATACAAAAGTACCCATGTGAGTGCAATATTTTTCCCAAGATATGTTGCGCAAAATTCAATCCCTGCAAACTAGTGTTCTGATTGGGACAACTGCAAACTATTAGCCAAACAAAATTTAACAACTATGCATTACTTCTGGTAAACACCCATAATCTGACAAATGTTTCAAACATGCAAAAAACGTGCATATCTGACGAGCTGGTACTGGTCAGTAGATTTCCCTAGATGTGAAATTTCAGTGATTTCAGTCCAAACTTGCCTATTTTAAACCCCCCTGTTCCCTTTATCTACCTTGTGAGTTAATTTTGTTTGCTTTCACACTAAATATGCATATGCCTTTGGTCAATATTTCCTTCTCATACATCATTGTGAAAAACAATAAGAATTATGCTCCCTGGCTTTTCCATGTCCACAAGATACTGCCAATATTAAAAATAGTTTAAACAGTTTTCTGGTCAAGAATATTTCACAGCACATATTTATAGTAAATTATAAGCATTGATCTACACATATTCATACATTTTGCAAATTTTTCATTTTCAAACCCCAAATAAAGATTTAGAAAATCGCCCTCAATGCTTAAGTGGACATTAATGATGATGTCATTGTCACAACTGCTAAACCTTATGTTACTGAGAGAGTGTCAAGGACCCCCATTGTACATGTGATCCGAATAGGCACTGTGTCTTTAGAAAACATGTTTTTGTTTCCATTGCAAGTATATGTTTTAGCAAAGTGCAATTGTGTAACTTGTGTTTCTAGTTTAAGTCAGTCAATGATCAAACAACCATCATTGTCCAGGTCTCCTGTTACATGTCTGAACGTAGTGTCTGCAGTGTTACCTAGACATCGTAAAAACATGCAGTATTTATGATTATTTTATGATTGCCATTATTGATATTTATTATTTTATGTTTCATTTTGGAAAAATGAACAGAAATTTGTTAATTATAGCAACAAATAATCCCGAACACTGCTCACCTCTGATAACTATCCTGTATAACACCAAAATATCTAAACCTCTCACCATGAACCTCTTTATCTCACCTTCAACCCCTCTCATTCTAACATCTCACCTTCAACCCCTTTCACCTTCAATCCGTCTCATTATAACCTCTATCCTTTAACCCTCCTCACCTTTAACCCCTCTCATTATAACATCTCACCTTCAACCCCTCTCATTATAACCTCTATTCTGTAACCCCCCTCACCTTTAACCCCTCTCATTCTAACCTCTATTCTTTAACCCTCCTCACCTTTAACCCCTCTCATTCTAACATCTCACCTTCAACCCCTCTCATTCTAACCTCTATTCTTTAACCCTCCTCACCTTCAACCCCCCTCATTCTAACCTCTATTCTTTAACCCTCCTCACCTTTAACCCTTCTCATTCTAACATCTCACCTTCAACCCCTCTCATTCTAACCTCTATTCTTTAACCCTCCTCACCTTAAACCCTTCTCACCTTCAACCCCTGTCATTCTAACCTCTATCCTTTAACCCTTCTCACCTTCAACCCCTCTCATTCTAACCTCTCTCTTTAACCCCCTTTACTTTTAACCCCCTGCCATCTTCAATCCCTCTCAACTTTAACGCCCTCTTACCTGCAGCCTTTCATGTTTAACATAAACCTCTTGCACCTATATCATTTAAACTTCCTAGCCAACAGTAGTAGCTGCTTAAAATATTTAAGCAAATTACTCTATTATATTTACCAGGTACAATATCATATGTTTGTTGATTTAACATAAGATAAAGTGCCAATTAATGCTGGAGTAAGCATGAGGTTTATTTTTAATCAATTTTCATGGAATTTCTTTAACGAACTATTAAAAGACAATACTTCATGATTGTTTCCTATTTGGACAGATGAGAAAATACAATGCAAGATTGACTTTTAAAATACTGAGACCTGTGTTTGACTCTTGATCTCATGTATAACAATGCTGTTAAAGATAAACCAAAGATAATTGGTCTCGCATTCATCTTGACACTTGCCATTACTGTTCTCGGTGCCATCACAACTGTTATTGTCTATTCTCTGGCATTATGGTAGATCTTAGAAGCTGTAGTATTACTGTATGACTCTTGTAGTTGAAAGGTTCCATTTTGTTCCAACTGACTGATTTAAGTTCAAATTATCATAAACCTAGTCTGCATAATAAACAGAGACCACCGTAAACAGTAGTTCTGTATCATTAACAGTTGCTAGATGGTTGACCATCAGGAATATGGTCTGTCAGTAAGTGTACATTTACACACTGACCAGTATAGTTTGAGTTGGATACGTGAAGTATGTGTGTTGAGAAGTTTGTGAGAGAGTTACGTTTAGTCCATTGTACATACAATTATTTATGTATACATACATTATTTAGTTACTTATATCTCCGTATTTATCATGTGTTCTAACTTGTTTTAGTTAAGGTAGGTCTTGGCAGTGTTGTGGTTTCTGTGTATGCATTGAAAAATTAAACCTTGTTGTATAAACTGTTATCATTTGTCCAGCAACATCATTGCAAAGGAGTTCAGCAATATACAGAGACAGTTTGGCATGTTAAAGGCTAAGGGGCACTATATGAAAGTTTTATTGTTCATGTTTGTGAAATGGGAATCGACACCCCATTTTCTCAAATTTTGTTTGAGTGTCATTTAATAGAGAGTAATTTCTCGCCGCTCAAACTTTTACAGTAGGTGAAACCCCTTCACCACTGGGATCTACCTTAGCGTATCTTTCTGTGATCTTGATTGTAGACATCATGTGAAAACATTTCATGGATTTGGTTCAATTTTATTCTGTATGAAAAAAGTATTTTTTGTTTATTAATTAATGGATATTTTTATTTGTTACATGAACACAAAACAAAGAAATAAAAATGTTACATGCATATATGTTTTGTCTTAATATTTGACATGTTCAGAATTAAAATCAAAGAAATCAACAATTATGAAACAGATTATAACTTACCTGTAACAACTCTTGTTTGCCCGGGAATTAGCAGGCAAGGGGTCTTAATATGGAAGGAAACCAGAGTACCCAGAGAAAAACCAACATGGTCGGGCTGTTGACCGATACCTTTTCACATTTGTTTGGGAAATTAAACTCTGGCCACCTTGGTGAAAGGCAAGTTCACTATCCACTGTGCCATCTGGCCACTCCTGTAGGATAACAACGCAGGGTCACTGAATTTCTAACTCACAGTTGAGCGTTTGCCCAGGTGAGGAAGGCAATGGGTTCTGTTCCCTGGCCGGGACATACCAAAGTCCTTTAAAATGGTAGTTGTTATTCCCTGCTTACCGTTCAGCATTTAGGAGAATGGCAACAACTGCTGTTCTGGGTGCCTTTGGCATGGTATTTCAGTGAGATAGCACTATAAAGTTGGCATCATATCTGCGCTATCATAAGGAGGCAAGCACACCAACATACCCTATCTCCTGCATACACACATGCAAGCACGCATACACTACACACATGGAGGCACGTCCTTAAATGACCTTAGCTGTTAAAAGGACATTAAACAAAATTAAACCAAACCAAACTTCTAACTCGCAGAGCCCAAGTGGCAATGTGCGTATGCTGTGGTGTGACATCCATCAAGAACTTTTCCTTTGAAGAAACTACAACTCTGGTAACAGTTGAAGGGATTTTGAGTAAATCTGGTAGGAAATGGCCCTGGGCCTATGAAACTGAACACTGTATAACTGAAGCCAGGATGGTAGAGAATGTGACCCGAAAGGGGTTAAACTACTCCCTTATGTACGGGTAAGGACATTTTTGACCTTATTTGCTATGAAACATCCCTGGCCTGGGTCAAGGGAAGTAACAGTTATATGATAAAGGGTATGATCTTTCTGGGGGCAGAGAAGTGGAGTGCACTTTGGGAGCCAGACTTATGTTTATACATGAACTGGCTAAATATCATTACCCTGGCTTCCACTTTGTTCAGAAGAACTTTTTGGTTTAGTTTTGCATATTTGACACCCGATCCTTGCGACGTTGAAAGAAGGTCAAGGTCGTTTGTTTGATGAAACTTTGTATTACTATATCCCAACATGCTATCGGCAAAGTATCATCACCCTGGCACTCTTAGTTATTAGGAAAGTTGTTTAAAAGATCTTTACACATTTGACCCATGTGACCTTTAAAGTAAGTCAAGGTCATTTACAGGAGGAAACTTTATACAAATGTACTACTCTATACCAGCATACTACTGGTCAAATATCATTGCCCCTAGGCCTTGTTATTCAGAATTGTTCAAATGTTTTCACATATATTATGCTGGTGACCTTGAAAGTCATTTATTTGGAGACAGTTTATAGCACCACATCACAGCATGCTACTGGCTAATTATCATCATCATCATAAAGGCCAAATATAATTTCTCTAGGCCTCTTGGCTATTCAAAAGAAGTTGTTTAAAGGTTTTTAACACATTAGACCCTGATGTCATCTTGAAAGTATATCAAGGTTATTTATTTGAGAACAATTTTTTAGCACTCTTTACCAGGAACCTACTACATTGTAGTCAAATACCAATACCCTAGGTCTTCCAGTTCTTAAGAAGTCTTTCAAAGAAATATTTGACCATTGATGGACGAACACTGGACGATGGGTCATCAGGCTAGAGGAATTTCACACCCCTAAATATAGTGAAATCAAAATGTACTGTTCGCTACAGATTGAATGATAAGACAGAAGCAAAGGTTGATTTCATAGATTCTTTAATAAACAAACAGCAATATAACAATAGATCAACCAATAGCAGGCAGCTGCTGTCGATCATGGCTTATAAAGGGGAGACAACTAGTACCAGTTTGTAGAAAGTAAGTCTACTTACACAGTGCTCCACAGTAAGACATCCTGGAGCAGCAACATGTAGGCAGGTCACAGTTTTGGACAACATCATCGTTTGTAAAGGAAGCAAGTTAATTTGATATGCAGTCATGGTATGTGTAACAAACAAACTGATGCTGAAATACTAATGTATACTTTGATGAAAAAGTGGAATAAAAATGTTGGTAAACCAACACAATTATCCAGCACAGAGATCCAACATCCTACGGGCAGTGGTCTGTCTGGTACAGGAATCAGAGGTGGATACCACAAGGGTATTCAAACAGAGCTCCATCAAAGAGTAATAAATTCAGTAAAGTGAACGGAAGAGCATCGATAGCACCAAGGAGTCCGTTACAGCAGACGTATTGTCAACATGTTTCTGATGACGGCAGACCTAGTCTACCGAAACTGGATAATAATAAAATGTCTACCATAACGGAATCCTTGGTGTTGATGCTCTTTCGTTTACTTTATCAGTGTATACTTTGTAATCGGCTAAATGCATATGTTTAGGGCATTTGAAAGTTTGTGTCTAGTGTTACTATAGGCTTGATATACATCTCTATGTTTATATATTCTTATAAATATCATCAGAAAACACTGGAACAAACGTCAGTAAACATATCTACATTGATTTCTTAATACAGAGCTTTTCAGACAGGCAGGATACAACGGTTGGGTGGTCGAGTGTACTAGGGGTTTAGGTATTCCCAATACCCTGACTCATTTTCAGGCAAACATAAATCTCACTTAAACACATTTGTGTACAGGTAATAGTTATGACTTAAGAAAAATTATTTTCTCTAGACCCAACAGTTGGAATAATAATAGGTTACTGTTGTTTACAAATAAAAATGTACAATATTAAATATTAAAATTCTTGCAGAATAAACACCACTGTGTAATACTGTACTCATCAGTGTCCCCAACCTCTTGTCAAGTTTTGGAATCAAAGCTGAACAAAGGGCTATAACTCTGCATAAAATTGGGTAGGAGAGTGTATGCACTTATGCCTTAGTGCATTGTAATATACTTTACCTGGATCAAGTCTAAGGGAAAATTGATAGTGAATGTCATGGTAAGCAACTATAGTGTTTGTGCAAAATTAAACATGAATTTCACATTTGATTAGTTTTAGGTAACAGGGGTGTACAATTTCATATTTAGTGTACTAACCCACATCTTTTAGTCTTTTTTTTATCTACTAGCCTGATCTATATTATTGTAATATAGATCAGACTAGTAGATAAAAAAACCACCAAAAAAACTAAATGTTGAAAATTATACCAGTCCTGACAAAAAACTTTCTAGGCCTGAAGGCCACACTTGTGAAATATTAAAAAACAGCAGAGTCGTTTCACAGATTATATTAGTATAGGGATCAAAATTTATTTTTGTACTTTAATGAGAAGAAACAGCCATCAGTTAATCTGTTACATTGAACTACACAAACATAGCTACATAAATCTCTGAGATTGTTTAATAGATATCGTAAAGCAGGATATTTCAGGGGGATGAAGTTTTCGTGATTTCCCCAGTCAATAACGTGATCGTGAAAATATTATGCGCAGGATAATATGACGAGCGTAAAAATGAGCTGTGATAATTAACTTCATAACTGTGTCGTAATGATGCCAAAAAACTGCAAGCATGTGGTTATGACAAATACCTATCCATCAATAGTAATAGAAATGGAGGATATCAGTTCCTTCACATTTCTGGATCCTAAAATTGCAATTCGTCTAAATATGATTTTCTAATTTTGGGTCAAACTTTCAAAAAATTTAAGTGTGCACAAATAGCCCGTTATACTGTATATGTTTCACTGGAAGACATTCAATCACACTTTCAATTATCTCATGAAGATTTTTTATGAAAATTTTTGTGAAAAAAGCACAACATGTTTGAACTGATAAATCAATCATTTCTGTGACAGAGACAGCCGAAACCGTGTTCCTGACATCAAATATCTGATTCCTTGGGTTGTCTCCATCTTAACCACATATAAAAGGGGTGATTGATCTTAAAGACTTAAAATCTAATCATTGTGAGTCTTACATATCCAAAAAAATACAGTATAACATCCGTTCAACTGCTTAAAACAGTGCTATACTGTATTTAGTGAGATTTTCGTGCAGTCTAACTTTCAAATTTCGCCAGTAAAATCCATGTTTGCCCATTTCACATTTGATTACTATGAATATCGTTTTGTTTACTACAATACAGAGAGCCTAAAAGGCAAAAAATAAACTGAAGCTAAATTTTCCCGATACACAGTAATTTGAACCATTTTTTTTTTTTTTCAAAAATTAATTTAAAGATATATATATATCAACAAAGAAATAATTTTAACTCTTTTGATTTGGATGAGATATTCCAATAGATGCAGGTTTACTATATGAAGCTTGTAATGATATCTACAACGACAATAAATACAACAACAAAAAACAGAAAAATATTCTGTGTTTCTCCTGTGAGACAAAGTTTTAGGCTAATTATATATATATGTAAATAATTCTATTCACTGTGTAGTGTTCTAACAATGAAACAATCCTTTTTATGCCTGGTTCATATTTTTTCACCATAACACATAAATAAAACTTTGATAATTCACAGCAATTGAATTCTCCAAGAAAAACAACTCCTTTGATAAATTCTTAACTAGAATATGATTTTGCTAAGAAATGTATCGAACCTAAAACGAATTGTATAAGCTCATGGCTTATTTAATATGCCCTCCTAGTTGATAACAATACTGCTTGTCAAACTCTACCAAGGAAAGGGCAATAACTCCGCATAAAAAGTCATTGAAATGATAATTGTAAGTTGGTCTCATTATAGTAAAGCATAACCTCAAGCAAGTTTTCAAGCAAGGAGATTTGATAGAAAGTAAGGGACCTATTGTCTTGATAATGTTATTAGATAATGCATATCAAGGGAAATAACTCTCTTTAAAGCATTGGCAACAACACAGCAGTCTCGCAAATATATTTCTGTGATGGAAAGGATGTGTGCTTAGTTTCGTTAAAATTGGTCAAATACTTTAGAAGGAGAAGTGCAGACAAAACGGTTTTTACAGACAGATTACAGTATTTATTTGAATTCCTTTTCTACAACATCTGTCTAACAGCTTTTCATATCTCTCCTGTTATCATTTTTGTACCTGATATATGATACTTTATACATGTAATACATAAAATCTTAAGACTCCCTTCAAAGTCTCATCTTTCTATATACTCTTAAATAAGGATGAAAGTTACCTTCTATGTCATACCGGTAAAATATGTTAGAGTTATCTCCCTTCTGAACATAAGCAACCTTACACAATCTACAAATCTGTTTTCTTCCCTATAGACGCATGATAGCTTAACCTACACATTATACCTGTTACTTATCGTAACTTTATTTTCAAAATAGTTGAGTATTGAATCTTTGTTAATTCTTGTGTACCTTTCAAAGATGTCATCAATTAATTTATGATTAATAAAACAAATCTGTCTTCCAAGTCAAACTCTCCTAGAATTAAAATTCATGTTAAAACAAGGTAGCATTCATCCTGAATTGTTATCAAATTAATGCAAACAATGACTAATGATGCGAACTATTGGGAAAATAAAATTTGTTTGGGAATGCATGTAAATTAATATATAAATGTTAAATTACACGGTAATAAAATTCTGTTGTGGTGTTGTTTAACTTTTAATTCCATATAATCTTTTGGTGTCTCTTCATCTATTGTCACATTTCGTGTTGATGTTTCATTACCAATACATGTAAATCCTATCTTATTAGCTTGAAAAAAAAATACCTAAATCAATATCATAAAAATGTTTAGATCTCATAAAGAGGCTTGTTATGTTACCATAACAACGTAAGGTGTGTGTATAATCCTACATAGCATGCAACATGTACTTAAGGAAAAGAATGTACACGAAACAATGACACATTAACAGCTACGTAAAAAATGTAACAAATAACACGAAAGAGATACACGCTGTCAATATAATGGATTGATATCATGTGGCAAGCTGTGTAAAGATTTCCCTCAATGCCTTGTATATATCAATACATCTATTTACAAGGAGACTTGGTTGTATTTTACCAATGTTTCAGCTAGCAAAGAATAGCAAGGTGTTGCACCCTACATTAATTTGTATACCTTGCAAGGTGCCCTGCCCTTTTTATTGGCACCCTGATCTTTTTGTTGGTTGATGATTCTGTTGATAATGTTTAAAAACTGAACCAGGAAGATGCCCCTAAGTTAAGCAACCTTAACTTGACCGTCTCTCACTACAGTCAATAAAGTTCAATTACACAGTATTTTTTTTTAAATTAAATTTTCCAAAACATATACATAAGTGTGAGTACCTTTTTTATATTTTTGTCTGAACAATATAATTCTGGATCCAAAACGGGAGTATAATATTTTCAAGTGTAATAAATACACATGTCTACCCAGCACAATAAGAAAAAAATGTATTAATATCCCTATCGCTTCAAAATTTAAGTTCCAGGGACACACTGGAAATGATATTTAAAGTGACATTTCCAGTCCTTCCATTTAAGTATACACAAGGTTATGCAGGATGTAAAAGCATACAGTTTTTAAAGTAAGCTTAACCTCATAATCAGCCTTTCTCAACAAAGTCCTTATTGTGGGCCGATTCCAGATCTACAGTCCAGAAGTTCCAACTTTCAAGAGAATTCTTTTATGCAAATAAAATCACATTAAGTAAATCTAGATTAATGTTACACAAATTGTTACAAAAATCTGTACAAAACTTTCGATACCATGTTTCACCATGTACCGACTTGAAATCAAATAATCATTTGCAGTAATATACTTGTCTCCGACTCGACAATATCCTATATTTGTTCGTCTATTGGTATATTCCACCAAGAAAGATGATGTCCACAGTTCCACAAGCTTTATTCACCTAACAGTTTGCTAATGAACTCATGTATTTTGAAGTTCACATACAAGCATAATTTTGGCAGTTTGAAATTATACTTTTTGAAAGCCCTGCACAGGGTAACAGTATCATCAGAGCAAATATTAGAAACTGTTCTTAATTAAATCGCAACCTAGGATCTTACTGGAAGTTAAAAGTTATTAGCCCCCAAGTTTTTTTTACAACACTGTCCTTTTACAGGAAATGAGATAACTGGTTTCAGGAAGAAAAAGAAGATCCACACAGCAGTAACGGCATCACGTCTTACGCTCTGGACAGCGGGTTTGCGGCAGTTTTGGGCGTTTGTCCCCATAAAGGTCGCTAGCTTCCTTATTTTCACAGATATGTACAATGATAGCAGGCTGGCTTTCTGTCTGTTTGTGGAGCTCATGGGCTTCTCCTGTTAACAAATAATAATTACTTTTTTTTAAAACAGTCTTTAGATGAACCAATCAACCATAAATGTTGTTATAATCCAACAATAGCATGAACCATTACATGTGAATGCTTCCCAACTGAAAAATTGTGTCAAGTTGTTTGCATAATCAGGGACCAATAATGATGTGATGTGAAATTCAAATTGTGACAGAACATCCTAAATGATTTCAAATTGATATTTCCTGCCTGACGGTACTGGTAACTTCAATCTTGTTCATGTAACAAGAGGCACAGAGGGCCTGTATGACTCACCTGGATATCTGAACAATCAGGCAAAAATGTTCTTAATAGAAAGTAAGTTTGCAAATATTTCCATATATTGAGTCTCCTTGGTTTAAGAATGTTCCATACTAAATGAAACTGTATACTTCGCTATCCCTAATTTCATACCCTGAGGGCCTCTTGGTAATGTTGAAGTTGTTTAAAGGTTTTTAAATATTTGACCCCTTTGGTTTTGGGAAGTAGGTCAAGGTCATTTATTTGGGAAAACTCACTAGCACTCCATCCTAGGTACTTACTGGCCAAATATCAACACTCTAGGCATCTTGGTTATTCAGAAGAAGCTGTTTTAAGGTTTTTTATACATCTGACACTTGTGAACTTGAACGTAGGGCAAGGCCATTTATTTGAGGAAACATTATTACACCTGTTCCAGGTACCTAATTGCGAGGTATCATTACTCTTGGCCTCCTGGTTATTCTGGAGAAGTTATTTACAGAAAAAGTTGACGGATGACGGAATAACAACACACCATACCATAAGCTTTGTGCCAGGAGAGCTAAAAATGGCTGTTCTGCCATTGGCGCTCCTCATTTAGATGCTGCATATATGCAATTCCTGTATGTCAACATTGGTAAAATGAAGGCTTTGCAATGTAAAGGTCCTGATTTCGACCCCTGCAGTTATTTATGTTTTTTTCTTTTCTTTTCAGGTCGATTTTCAAACATTCAAATTTTGAACAACTGTAATTCTGTAAAATGCATTATAATTTGTGATTTTTTATGGAATATTTCTTGCAAAATGGTGATGACAATGCCAGAAATAGATACCCTAAGGCCAGGAGAGTTAGACATAGTAGTAGAGCAAGAGAAAGATGCTGAGCTCCAGCTCTTGTAGAAACAGTTGACAATATAGTAAATTTATAGTTTCACTTTGTGGTACCTGTTTCCTTCAATCAACCCTAAATTTTAAGGTCAACTTTAAGGTGACGGTCACATTATTAAGACCATAACAGGTACCTACCTGGCGTGAGGCTTGCCATGGCCGCTAGGAGGTCGTAGTTGATGATGGGTTCCGATTCAGTGACTGGTTCCCAGCCCACAGGGGGCGAGGCAGGTGGAGAGATCAAAAACTGTTTTGTTAGGGCAGGGAGCTGTAGGTGTGGGTCAGTTTTGTCGCGACTTTTGTCGCGCGGCTGTAAATTTAAGGATAGAGATAATTCAAGATCATATTAATTCATCATGGTACAGAAGAGTCTGTTCTTATAAAACAGTTTACAAGTTCAAACTCAAAAGCTAAATTTCAAGAGAAAGACACTTTTAGATTATACATTATTTAATATTTTGTTAATATTTTGCCTTAACTTCCTGAACCAAAAAATTCTCATTAAAAAAAAAATGTTTTATTTTTTCCCCTTGCAAGAAACTGGTGAATTACAAGAGAGAAAGCTTGAGCACACAACTTGAGTACAAACAGGAAATTCAATCCAGACAGCAAACTTCACAGGTCCCAATGCCTTTTCAGAAAAGAAATTTCTATGATATTTTCATTGAAATAAGTATAATACAGCCGAATTTCTATAGATCACGGGAAAATACATCAACATTTGGTAGGAGAAACCATCCACCTGTTGTAGAATTCACCAAAACAAATCACATATCTGAACTTTTAAAAAAGAATTCTAGTTTTTTAACAGTTTTTCCACTTCATCATTTTTCATCTTGTAGATATATCCATCAGTTTCCACTTTGTTCATAAATTTCCTCTAAATTAACAATAACTGTATAACAGGAAATTTTCGCTGCATCACCGCTCTGAATATCAAAAGCGAACTTGAACACTTGTATCACCAGTGAAAGGCAAATGCGCTTGGTACAGTATAACTACAAAATGAAAATGTTAATGAGAAAATACAGGTAAAACACTTACCTGGGCCATGTAGCACTTGATACAGGTTCCACAAACTTCCATTTCATGTAAGCTAAGCTTTGCCTTCACGGCAAACTCAGGATGGCTAAAATTCACTCGCACTCGACGGAAACTTTTCAGGAAATTAAAAGTCACTGATTCATCGAAATATCTGAACACTTCTTCAAACTGTTTCTGAAATTAAAAAAAACAAAATATTTAATTATCAACTAAAAAATAAATACAAGTCAACACTTCAAGATTGTGCTTTGAAGAAAACCCATTAAGGCACAATTTTCAAAGTTGTCAATAACATAATTATAGACTAAACTTTTGCTGTAATTGAAAAGATTGCTAAACAATTTTCACCAACTGAGGATATTTACTCATATAATACATTTGTATTATATTTACAAAGTACATATTTTTTTCAAACAGTATAATTATAATGATTCAACAATGATGAAGTTCTGTAAATTAAATGTCAGTTATAAGCTTATACAAACCAGTGATTCTGGAACATTTTCACACATAATAGCATTGACAGTTTTACACAAAAAAAGTCAAGCCACAATATCAAAAGATTGTGTGGGCCTAATAATTTGATTGTTATTAGCAAATAAATGAATCTGAAAAATACCCAATAGAATGACGCAAATCTGACGATGGAATCAAATTTAAGATTTGAATAACATGTTTCAAACAAACTTCCCTCTAATTTTTAACAATGAACTAGTCTATCAATTGTTTGGAACATTCTATGACTACTAAGAGGGATGCGAGGGTACCGAAAAACTTACGTCATTGCCTTAATGGGTTTAACTTTGTTAGAATATTGGTGACGCAGGAACCGGTAACACTAAACCTTAATCTGTGAACATTGTGTTTCTCGACAATACTAATGTCACCCCCACTCAAACAGTATCCAACATAAATATTTAAAGCACAGTACACAACATTTAGCACTTTGCTTTGGATTTTATTGGTGAAAGCATTGTCAGCTTAATTAGAAAATTTAATCAAATTGAAAAATTAATCATTTCTAATATATTTTAAACAAAATTGTCCCTCCATAAATATTTCTAGTAATATACAGACTTTATATGTACTATTATAATCCAAACAAGTGTCTGTGTCCCAATTCCAATAGCTATCTAAGTTTTAAAATTTTATCTCGATATGATGTAAGTTGACCAGGCCGGGAAGAAAATCCACCTTTCAGAAATTACATCAACGGTTGATTACCTCTTTAATTGCTATTATGGCACACTAATATCTTGATCAAATTTCTATAAACGTCAATCCAGATTTATTTTAAGAATTCACAAAAAACATATTTTATTGATTGATCATGACAAAAGTTTGTATCAGAATGGGAGTGTTTACAATAGGGTTATAAGTACTGTATAGTACATGTAAAATTAATTATAAGTGATATGAGATCAATTCAAAATTAATTCAATTAAACACTGATTAGATGCTAATTAGTAATTGATGAAATATCAATACACAATCAATGTCAAATTGACGACAAACAGAAACTTAAGCTTGAGGAAAGCGACTCGTAGCCCTTCAGCTGTTCGTAAACCACGCTAAACAAATAAGAATAAAATAAAATAAAACTTAAGCCGGCAATTGAATACATATTGGGACACTTAGTCATCACATTAACGATTGGAAAGCTAATAGTCTGCAAAATGTAAACATAAACAATGTGTTTTCAATAGAAGATTCAACTGTACATGTATACACACAAACCAGTGTACAGACTAACAACGTTATACTCACAGTACATACAAACTAAACGGTCCACATTTACAAATGTTCCATGATAGACACAAACAAAAGTGTCAAGGACAGCAAGGTTCTGATGTACAAAGTGTCCAGACTAACAAGGTTCAACTTCTTATGCACACACAAATTAAAATGTTCTGACTACTAAAGTTCTAGTATGTACACAAACCAAAGTGTCTGGACTAACACAGTTTTATTGTACATACAAACCAAAATATCCACACAAACAGGGGTCTGGACACATTTAGGTAGAAATGTTACCATTGGCAGTGACAAAAGACAGAAAATGCTTAGAATAGAAACGAAGAATAACTGATTTCCGGATGACGAATATGTACCATTAATATAGATATCTTTTCATTAAAAAGACATTGTGGTGTGTACTGTATATATTTTCCCATTGATGTATCCTCCCAACTTATTACATGTAGCTCTTGGATTAAGGATCCCTGTACCACTGGTAAAAAATATAACTGGACATTGTATTACTGCTATGACTATAGGTTTAAGAAACCATTTATGAAAAAGAATTCATATCTTGGGGAACATTGATGAAAATATGATTTAGATGAAAATCAAAAAAATATCATTAATAACAGTGTTCTGAGAGTAAAAATGAAACTGGGTCAGATTGGGTTTTGAACTCTGGACCTTCGATCACAATGTCCAGGTAAACGTTGCTTCATACAACTGAGCTTCCTGACAAGCTGTAGTTTCCTGGCCTGGTCCAACTACAGTCGCGTTATATCTTAAGGATCCCTGGCCCATCACAATTTATATTTTCCCTATATACAGTTACCTCCCTTTAACTTCCGTTTGGATATAAAAGTATTACAGTTGGGCCAGGAGATTTCCGTTGACCAGGTAGCTCAGTCGGTTAGAGTAATAGAACATTATCCTGAAGTCCAGGTTACAATCAAGGACTAGCCACGCTTCATTTTTGTTGTTGATTATAGTTTGTTCATTTACGTTTCTCATAAAAATCCTCATAAGTTTGGTTTTCTTTTCAGGAACGGTTTATCAAAACTATAATCATTCTGGGAAAAACAGCTTCCAATACTTAAAAACATTTTTTGGCAATGGTACAAGGATCCTTAAATGAAATTAAGGGGAGATTACTGTGCTAAAAAAATACAGTGGGATTCTCTAGTGTGTTAACTGCAGTGGGATAGGGATCCTCAACCCTTTCATCCCTATGCAACTGTAGTAAACTCAACCATGCATTGATCTGGATGAAGACATAGTGTGGTCTACAGTGGTGAAAGGGTTAACCCACACTATCTAACTGTATGTCAGATTTTAAGCGAGCCTATTAACTTAAAATACCTAAACTTACTGTAAGTCTATAATTATAAAACTGTCTGATATCAGAAATTTTAACCTATTAAACTTAATATACCTAAACTTATTGTAGGTCTAATTATGACAAGAGGCCCATGGGCCTTAACGGTCACCTGATATATTTATACAGAGAGGTGATTTTGTTTTTAACATGAACAGAAATATTATTCAAACTGACAAAAAACAATAAAACCACCTTATTCAATATCTAGCATACAGATTTAAGACTAAAAAGTATTTGAAACTAGCACCTCTGATTCTAAACAAGGAAAATGAAGAAATTTTAGCACACTGACTCCTTTGGGCCCCACCCTACAGCCCTTGGGGTAGGGCTGGCTGAAAATGTTCGAAGTATCAAACTGTCAATTCAAGGATATAATTCCAATCAAGTTATTTACATGTATTATTCAAAGTTTCATTTGCCATTATAAACCATAATTAAGTTTCCCGCCCCCCCCCCGCCCTGCCTCCTTCCCCAGGGGGTAAATGTGATACCCTAGGGTCATAAACCTTAAGACCCTTCCATCTATGAGGAGTGTTTGATTCTATCATATCTGGGTCTTGAGAAGAAGATTTTTGAAATTTCAGTCAATTCGACCCTTTTTGGCCCCACCAAATAGCCTTGGGGGGTCAGTCAGGGCTCATATGTGCATACTATTAAACTGCTACATAATACTGATAATGCAAACCCAAATTGAATTACTTCCAATGGAAATTAAACAAATGTTGGTCCAAAATGTGATTTCCCTATATAAACTATAGTATAGTTTACTCCCTCCCCAGGGGGAAACGTGAGACCCCAGGGTCAAGAAATTCACAATTTTGGTAAAGCACCTTAAGACCCTTCCATCTATGAAGAGTATTTGATTCCACCATATTTTTGTCTTGAGAAGAATATTTTAGAAATTTTAGTCAATTTGACCCTTTTTGGCCCCGCCCCTCAGGCCCCTGGGGTCTTGGGACTAATCCGGCCACTACTTTTGTTGATCTTTGTCCATAAAAGGTTCCTGCAAAATATCATTCAAATTGGTTCAGGGGTTTTTGAGAAGAAGTCGAAAATGTAAATTGTTTACGGACGCACGACGGACGACGACGGACAAAAGTCGATCGCAATAGGTCACTTGAGACTTTGTCTCAGGTGACCTAAAAACTGTCTGATATCAGAAATGTTATATCATCACTGCGCCAAGTTTAATCTAAAGATTTCAATCATTTGTAAATGAAAATCCAAAAATAACTTGTGAGCTATTTTGGAAATAATCAGGGAACAAAATGTGTGGCTATATACATATAATCTAATCCTGCCTAATTACAAAGGTGCTCTTGTTAAAGATCTGTCAGCTTGACAAATCTAATTGTTTTCATTTTCTTCACAAAACTTTCAATTTGTCTTAAATTTTTCTGACTATTTCTTGTTACTTTTACTGAGAAATTTATCTGAAATCTCTGTCCATACATTTTTATTACAGATTTTTAATAATATTTTGGAAACATATCCTACATAAAACACTGCAGTAATTTGTTGGTAAGCTAATCAAACTTTTGAGCAATTAGTTCCATGCACGCCTGATGTGTTTTTTGTAAGAACTATCAGGTTAATTTAAAGTATAGCATTTTTTCTTAAAGTGTTAATTATATTGAAATTGACTTATAAATTTGCATCATGAAGAATAAAAATGTATCCCAATTTGACAAACAATATATATCTGGTATACATGTATGGTGGTTTTTTTTTAAATTCAACAAATAATAGATTTTGGATATAACTGACTAAGCTAACAAGTCTTTAACTAGACTGACAAATTAGCAGTGATACATGACATGGAACAACATGTCTTCTGGCCCAAGTACGTCATCACCACACGAGCTGTCAGATTTCATCACAAAGCCTTGGTTTCATTCTCACATCACAAGACAGGCTACGCATACACAATACACCTTACAACAACAGTACCATAGTTCTGTGAACAATAATATGACCTTGGTAACCCCCTCTCTTCCAAACTCCAATACCATGGGCACCTAGTGTTAAAAGATCACAAATCATGGATGTCTATTCT